AAAGTGCCAAGTCCACGGGAAAGCCAATATCAGAATCAAAAACTTCCACTTCCAACTTCAAGCTATATCTCATTTGGCGTCTCAAACAAATTTGAAAAATGTATCGCAGTATCAGTATTTCTGTATTTGTATTTCTGCCTTTTCTAAAATGTATTCCTGTATTTGTATTTCCAAATACTTTTTGCCTCTATGTAAAATGTATTTCCGATACGTATTGTAATACACTTTTACAGATATATTTCAGTATCAGTATTTTAGCTACTATTTTAATGTATCCCAGTATTTGTATTTCCAAATACATTTTTGAGTATTTCTGCCCAACCCTGCGCCCAGGTGCTTCGTTTGTACTTGGCACCGAGTGTTATTTTCTGTGCTTGTGTGTGCTCCGTGGCTAGATATGGGCCTCAAAAGCAGTTCTTCAGGCTCAATAGCGTTCACCGAAGAACTTCTGAAGAAAATGCCACCCAGGAAAAAAAGCACGAAGACACAACGCACCAGCTTGGCGGACTATGCACTGGGCGCGGAAATCGGGCCCTGCGGATTATACAACAAATGCAAACTATCTAAACAAAACAAAACCATTTTTAGGCTCAAATTGGCTTCTGCGTACTATACGCCTGGACACTGGTGCCTGTTATTATGCATTGTATATTCACTGCTGTTTGTTGTGGCCTGAGAGTGCCTTCCTGTTATGATGCAGAGGGGTCCACTGAACCTTGAAATAAAGATGTTTAAGCACATCTAGATGCAATGTCCCTTGAAGCCAGATGGTCAGGGAAAAGGTGTGCCATTACCTAATTTGCCAACAGCAAACCAATGGTCACGATCAAAACTCACCGAGTCAATGGGCAGTTTTTCACCACAACATTTATTGCCGTGTAATCACCAATTTGGTCCATTAAAAACCTTGAGGCTGTAGCCTATAGCACATCTATTCTGGATCTGCAAAGCTTATGCTGTAGACATGCATCATCACATGAGCATGTTTCTTATCAATCTTAAACGTAAAACGCTAGTTATGCAACGAAATTCCCATATCATCACATTTTTAGCAAATTGAATGGTCCCACCTGTCACACTGTTAGCTTTGGAAGTAAACCAATTCACAATACCACCAGTGGCAAACATCGTGCCAAGCATTAGTGCCGCATGTAGCACGAAAATGTCCTAACTAGGGAAGCAAACTTAATCGACCGTGTTGATCAAAGCACTTAAGTACGGGAGAAATTATCAATCAGAAGGTCACTCGAAAGGGAAGTTTTCTTGCTGAACGAATATGACTTTTTATTTTGCGTTCCGCAATGTAAGGCTGAAGACATTCACTCCGTGATCGGTACAGAAGCATTTGCTTAGCAGTCGGTCGTGCGTGCTAAAAACAACAAAAACAAAGGTGGATTAGAAACGCGATAGATTCGCCTTTGCACGGAGTACTTACACTCAAAATCGTGTCAACATAAAGCGACTATGGCCCACCTTGCTAGCACCAATCTTAAAATTTATCCGTGTAGTCGTCGCAGCCGTGCACCAATCGAAAGCGTTGCCGCAAGCCCTTCCGCCGTCAACTTTGAATCGCTGTTGAGTCTGAAGAACTGCTCTATGAGGTCCATATCCAGCCACTGAGCACATACACAAGCACAGGAAATAATACTCGGTTCCAAGTACAAGCGAAGAACCCGGGGTGGAAAGCCCTGAATGCCGAACGACCTGCGTCGGGCGACGGCGGCTGACTGCGTAGTACTCAGGTTGCGCTCCTTCGACGCCTGCATCGCTGCGGCGGGTGGTCGTAGCTGGTCGTAGCAGATCGTGTCACCTCTGCTGCTCGTACCGAAACACTAGAGCTGCTAGAGCCGCGTAATATTCTTGCTGCCGAAGTTTATAAGCCTACGTTCGCGGCCAACGCATATACACAAAGCCACCGCCCAGCGAACCTATCCCCCTCGTTCTCTTTCGGCGACCGGCCGCCAGGGCGGTGACACCGTCGCTGAAACTCCTCAATTCTAACGTTACCACTCAGAGATGGGAGACGTGGTCCTTAGCGGTGGTGCCCATACTTTCGATTATTTTACTGCGTTGGATCTGACCGATTTTGGACGTACTTTTTCCTTGCTTCAGCAGTACAAAGGAGGGAGGGAAAAAAATCAGGTGAGCAATGTACCCCCTGTACTACCCAATGAGAGGTAGCCCCAGTTTGTTCAGAGCTGCTTCAGCACAGGGGGCCAATGCAGTCGAGTCTCGACGCCGTACAGTGCTCAACGCTGCGAGCGCGAAAAAAAAAAAATTGGCTTGCTCTTTATGTTTATACAGCCTTGATGGAGATGCGCCTCAACGGGTAATCGGTCTCTTAGCTGTAGATGAGAAATTTAGCCAGTGCGGTACAACCGCTAACCTGAGATTTTTAACGTGCATCACGCAGTAGTGACCACACGGACGCGTGCCGGTACGAAACTCATCCAGATCGAAACGGGCGGGGCGGCGGGGATCGAACCCAGGAGGTTCCCAGCGCGAGCTTTCGCTCCACGCTTCGAGCTGAGACGCGTTAGCCCACTCAGCCACTTCCTCCCTTTTTTTTTTTTTTTTTTTTTTTTCAAACGAAACAAGTTTATTTACAAGTTATTTACAGACATCCTTGCAGTAGGTTCCGCAAACATTATACAAGGGCGCAATCAACCAAACGCCTACTTATATGTTGTTCTCCTCCCCTCACCCTTGTTCTAAATCAGCCTCTTAAGGCTGCGGTCTCACGGCAGCCATATTGAACGAGGCGTTAGTTCAACCAATAGATGGCGACACGCACCCGTGGGGTGTAGGGTGCCTACATGTCTGTCTGTCTCAGGGTGAAGACATCCATTGTTGCCCTGAATGTTCCAGCGCGTGACGCTCTCGCGGACTCGGTGCGTGACTCGGGCGGTAAAATGGCGTCTATGCATTAGTTAAAGCTACGCGCTCGAGCTTAGTGACACCGGTTCGCGCACTTCAAAATGCATAAAAAAACGATTGGGCGGAAAAATGGCCGAGATGTCACCACTCAAGCAAAAGCGCGCGTGTGTATGAAGGCACTCTAGTGGGGTGGCCGAAACATTGGTTCACAGTAGGATGGCTCGAGCACCATCACGTTCCCCTCGTGGCCTTGCTCGCGCCGCTGCCAGCTGTGCAGAGGAAATTTTCATTGATAGAATATTGACACGTCAATCAACATTTGATTCCTTCTTGGTAAGATTTATTGCGAAAGCCCGTTACAACCGCCGAACCGCAACAATTTATACCCAGCCTGACATTCTCGCATACATCCGTTTGCTGGGCCACGCTACTCAAGTAGCGTGGTGGAGAGAGTGTATGACCATCTCGATGAAGCGGAAAGAGTATGACCAATCCTTGAAATCATGGACTTTGCGCGCAGAATTTAAAATAAATCTCGTGCCGTCAATAGTGCCTTAGCAAACAGGATAGCTGGGCGAGTTGGTATGTATTCATAATGGAACAGCGCGAATTTTGCAGGGACAGAGGAAGGAACTGGACAGGACGAGCGTTGCCTGCCCAGTTGCCCTAACATATTATATTATATTATATTATATTATATTATATATTGCCCTAACATATTTCTTTCGCTAAAAGTTAATTTTTTGATACGCGTGTCCCAACCAGACTATCTAAAAAAAAACATTTTTTTTTTTCTTTCTTCTGGGCCCTCTCAATAAAGCGCGAAAAATTCCCGATGTTGTGCTTGTGCTAAAATGTGTCGCAAAGTGCACATAGTCACACAACTTCTTACAGATGCCATTTTCAGCGTGCGAGCGTAAACTTCGCTAGCAAGAACTCTAAAAATGTCACCTTAATGAAGTTTACGAAGAATGTTTACGGAGAAATTTATGATAGGGGCTCCGGGGTTTGTGTACGTTATGTGAGAAATGCTGGGGTGGTGTTGTACCTGTTTTTCGGCTGTTTGCCCTAGTTTGCCTATTGGTGTGTGCTTGTTCCATTTTTCCCTTTTTGGAGTCTGCGAGTACGGCGATGTGCTGAACTCGGAGCTGGAAAGCTAAGATATTTTTTTCTTTTCGGCGAACTTTGTTCGTGGACACTCTCCCTTCCCGTCGAGTTGTCTATCGGCTTGTTTCTCTCGGTCATGGGGCGCTAAAGATTAGCCTTTGCTAGCGTCCGCGAGACGCGATCATTTAATGCTGACGTGAAGCGGCGTCCTAGCGTCCCATCATGTAACGTGCATGAGCGTAGACTAGCGTCTGTCAGTTTCCCTTGGCGTCTGCTCATGGTTCACGCGCACTACTGAGCGTTTGGAACGACGCAACGCTACCAACGCTACGCACAGCACTGGAAACGCGACCTAAAAATATCCTATGACTCTCAGCAGGGCCGCTGTTCACACTTCTTTCTATTTTGCGTGAGCATTCTAACGGAGAGTTAGCATTGGTGCTCGGAGGTTTGTGCAATTAGCCAATGAATTTTTTTTCTTCGTGTGAAGTAAAACTAAATTAAATTTTAAAGAAAAGTTAAATATTGACTCAAGTCCCCCCCCCCCCCCCCCCCCCCCCCCCCCCCCCCCCCCTTTTTCCGGAGGAAACAAACATGAAGCGAAAGCCCTTGCATTACTGCCATTGCAGTCTGCTCAATGATTGGCGAAATATACAGATTAAAGGGTACTTACTTTCCCCGGGTGTTCCATTGGGACACGCAACTGCATTTGAAGACTGTAGGAGCAAAGCATCAAAGAGAACGTCAATTTCGGTCACAGATTAGCACGCAGATCAGGTAACGACGTGAAACAACTTGCACTCTGAAAGGTAAAACGCGTCCTTTTCTGGCGTCTGCTAACAGCGCTTCAAAATATAATTTTTTAACGTTCCAAGATAAATGTCTTCGCTATTAAAACTAAATTCACAGGCAATTAATGCAAAGAAAGCTTCAATTCAATTTTATTTTGTTTTAGGTTGACCGATTGATTTTGGGTTTTATATCCATAACGAAACAATAGAAGCCAAGACAATCCAGTTCACTTTTGCCACCTTGCGGTTCGTTTCGGCTTGCGGCCTTGGGTAGTGGCCCAGTTTTGCCTCAGCTGCGTTGTTCAGTATGTTTCGAGTCTCGTGATACGAGTACCCAAGCCTGTACCAGACTATCTGAGAATTCACCCCGAGCAACTGCGGCGCTGTATCCTCCCGAATGTGCTGCCGGGTCGTCGTTCAGCAATGTCTCAAAGCGAGGCTCGCGGTGGCCGAGAACAACTGCGTGGAAATCGGGCGCGGCATCGTACTGTTTGTGTCCTTTCTCGAGAACGCCACCAGGGATGACGTCCTGAGGACCGCCAAGTCGGTCCTGAACGTGAAACTCTGCGACTCCGGCGAAGGCGCCTTGGTGTCCGTGCTCGAGCTGCCCGGCGATGTCCTGGTCGTGCCGCAGGCCTGCCTCGCAGGGAAGCGCAAGGGAAACCGAGTCCAGTACCACGGTCTGGTGTCCAAGGACACGGGACAAGAGTTCTACAGGATTTTCGTCGAGCAGTGTCAAATTCTGATGTCCGAGCGCCAGTGGTGCGGGGGAAAGACGATAACCATTGTCCGCAGCGGCACGTACGGTGACCGACAAGTTCTGTCGATGGAAACGAACGGACCTTTCACGCATGTTTTGGATTACTAGTCCCAACCGCCTTTCACTCACATTCTGGGTTACTAGTCCCATCCGCCTTTCACATATGTTCTGGATTAATAGTGCCAGCCACCTATCACGCATGTTTAAAAGGAAGTTCTCCTTTCGAGTGACGTTTGTGATGGTCCCCCAGCTCGGGACATGGCTGTCGTTTACGACCAGCGCGGGGGTTTATTGAATAATTGACGCACGTTTTGGGCCACGTCATCAGGAGGGTTCTCCACAGCACCTGCCGACTGGCAGCTTCCATTAAATTCTCTGTCATACCACCTGCTCGAGCCTGTACGTTTTCAAAATAGAACCGAGTGGCAGGATTGTGCCTTGCGAACATTCCTCTCGGTTAGCTCTCATTTAAAAATTTCGTGCACAGCTCAATCTGCAAGAATGCATAGCCGACATGTGCTAAAGTGCTTTCCAAAACCACCTGTGTATGTGTTATACAGAGTATGTCTGGAGCACAAAGTTCACCAGCGTTTCGCTGACCTACATTGCTCTTACCGACGTCGCACCAGGTGCTGTTGTGGCGACCTGGCAGCTGAGCGCATACGTTTTGTACCATATCTTTCGCACCACTGAATTTCTTTTTCGACAGGAACAAGTAGGAAGGACCGCCAGCGTGATACGGTGGCATCACATGCAACCAAGGTATAGGCAGGCTTGGTCCACCGCACTAGCAACCTTCCATGTTATTTTGACGGAATCCAGAGCTACAAAATGTAGCTTTAACAACACTTCTCCCGCACAGGAAGAACGTTCTTCATACTTACAATTCTATCAACGTTTGGGTTAAGAGTAGCCCTTCATTCCCATTTCACACCTCATGGGACCCCTCCCGGAAGGGACACTTAAGTGGGGAAAAGAACGGGAAGCAAGTATAAATTGAGCAGTTGGCTGCAGTGGAAATACCAAATTAATTACTTTTTTTTTAAATTGCTCAGCAGCAGTTTTGAAGTCCGAGAGCCAAAATACCCGTAGTGCCCCAAGCTGCGGTGGGTCCATATCACATGAGCGAATGACGTTTTAGCGAACAGCTACATTTTAGTGAATAATAGGGGCGCGTTAACCCATTCACCGTGCTGCGCTTATGCCGCTTCGCGGTGACAGTCTGCGGAAGCTCATTACAAAAATGTGAACTCATTTGGCCCACCCGAAAATGCCGCTACGCGGCATCCGACTATTCGTTAAAGTGTCATTCGGTGAAACGTGGGCGTTCGCTAAAACGTCATTCAATCAAGTGAGTGCCTCCCAGCTGTGGTAGCTATTTGAATAAAACGCCTTCATAATTGGGATAGCAGAAGCACCAGACTTCAACTTCATAATTCGTTACTTCAATTCGCAGAATGTGGGTAATGCAAGTAATCCATGCTGTACATTACTGCTATTTTAAGCTAGGAATTTCACTTAAACTGTTCACAGTGGTTAGACAGCATCTACTTTCTGTAATTGGATGGATTACACCTGGATATAGGGAAAAGCACTTGCAAGTACTACAATCAAACCAATGCCTTTGTCATATAGGGTAGTGCTCTTCCTAGAAAGGCTTAAAATGTTCAGTAGTCTAAAAGCTTTCATTGTGAATTGCAGGTAGACTTCCCACTGCTGTGAAAACTCCAGTAAGCTTAGCCCTTCGCCCTTGCACAGAATGCATTGTCTCTGCGATAACCTTTGCAAGGCAATTCTAGTACCACTGAACTTGCATCAAGAGAAACATTTCGAGTAAGGGGCAGTTCCTAAGCGTGCTTCTTCTATAGGGTGTATTCATTGGCAGTCATAGCTGAGCTCGCTGCTGCTTTCGAAGCACCAGGGAAGAGAGAAAGGGGAAAGCTGCTTTTGTACAAATTTTGCGTGAAAGTTAATCTTCTAGAGGGAGAATAGCGATGTATGGGGAAGCCTGGGACATACGAAGGGAAGTACCGGTGTGAAGAGTTTCTCCTTATTTTCTTGCGATTGCCCGAAAGCCGACAGGAAACTCCTCCTGAGCATGCACTGTGAGCAGTTACCTCAAATATGGCGTCCAGGGAATACCACCTATACTTCGGAATATCGTCCTGAAATAGAACTGCATTGAGATACTCCAAAGAATCTCAAAACCTAAATATTGCACAAAAAAATTTTTTTTTGTTCTTCGGCAAATTTATTTTGTGACATACAGGGGGCGGCCACAAGGATCAGCACAATTAGCACGCCTTGCAAAGTTCAAATTCTAAACGTACACACCTAAAATTGGGCAGGCAAATGTTTTTCAGAAAGTTTTATGTCGATTTTTTTGGAGCTCAACTCGGAGGTGGTTAAATATTAAAAATGGAACAAAAACGGCAGTTGTGCATTTTTAATGTCCTATTCCAGGTGTCCATTGTTAGCACACTGGTTCCCAGGTGTTCATGTTCATATATTGTGCTAAAATTATTGCTCCTCGTGATTGTCCTGCTCGTAGTCATAAGTATGGTGTTCTCAGCATTTTTGTGTTCAGCAAACAACCCAAGAGCGAGCGTGCAAACCAGTGTGCAGACAACAAACAGAAAATGCACGACCGGGTTTTGCTTTATTTTTAATATTTTGCCACCTCCAAGTTACTAAAAAGAAATAACTAAGTTTTTTACAAAACAATGTTTGTGTGCCCAATTTCGGGTAGTATATGTATGTAAGTTTGGAATTCGAATTTTGCAAGGCATACCAAATAGTATGCCTTGACGTCTTGTCCCCTTTTTCGTCCGTTGTCTCCCGTTTTAAAAAAAAATGAATACCAAATGTGCTGGTCCTAACAGCCGTTCCCTGTACATGTTGGTATTAAAAAGAATGTAGGGGAGTTAAGTCTTTTTTAAGGCAAACCCTAAGATATCTTCAAGACCAATCTGCAAAATATTCTTAACCAAGCCCAAAAATCACTCTTCACCTTCGTCAATGGAAAAGGCAGGCCCCAGACATACACTTTTGAGCTAGTCAAACCAGAAATGGGGTTGGCCATTCAGCAGGCAATGTCTCCCCACATAGGTGTGAGTCGTTCATAGTGGGCAGTAGCACATGAATTTAGTGGCTACTTTGTTTAGATAACTTAAACTCCTGCCGAGTGAATCTTCAGTATAAACACAACTGCATAAATTTCAATTGAAAAATCGACCCATTCTAAGCGGGGCGACCAGATGACCTGTATCGGCTAAAATCAATCCTTTTTAGGGATTAATTTCAGACATCCCATCGTGTTGCCTAAATGAAGCCTCATGTCCCGTTTTCATGCAAACGTATGTAGTTGTGTAATCAGTACCGAGTGCAAGAAACCTGTTTACTTGTTACAGATGCAATTTTATAAAACATACTGAGAATGGTACCTCCCAAGAAGTACAATTCTGAACGCTCTCTGCAATTACATCTGCCAATACATACGGTATTGTTCGCATAAGTGTCTGTATGGGAGACTTTTTCTATGTTAGTCAATTTTGCACACTTTGGTGGTTGGCCACATTTCTTCACCACTGTTTAAAAATGGAGAAAGAAAGCACTTGTGCTTCAAGAAAAAAAAACTCTGGGAAAATGGTAAAGATTTTACATTGACCTGAATAACAGCAAAGCTTTTCTTTTATTGCCGGACTTTCCTGCATGACGTCCAGTTTTCTACTCGGAGTAGGGTAACCCAAATTCTAAGGCAAATTCTACATGTCATGTACATAAAACTGCAATATCACTTTTTTAATAGGACATGTACATGTTTACATGCTATCACTTCATGATGCCATACTGGTGTCCTGTAACACTTTCGAGATACTGCAACAGTTTCCTATTACATAATTGATTTGTGTTGAACAGTATCAAATAGAACGTACTAAATAAAGGTAAACACACATCCCAGAGAGCTCAAAAATAAAAACAAAACTTTCAGAGTAGCTAAGTTTTAGAAAAAAAAAAAGCTGTTTGATACTCTAGCCCCACGTTCCAGGGAAAAAAACCAGTCATCGGATGGCCAAAACGACATTCTCTCCGTGCGAGGCTCGTAAAAAAATTAGGCACTAGTTTTGCCCATTGAGAAGTATGGCGAAAGGGCCCATGTATGCACCCGATCTCGCTACACTAGTCCTTCCGCAGAATAAAGTCAATCTGCTATGGTCACCGAATGTCAATACACGCCCATGCGAATGCAGCATCTAAAGACAACTACAGCCACGCCATCTTCCAAATGCTGTCTGTGACCAATGTGGCAATGCTAGCTTGGGCTCCAAGCTAGGCTGCCAAGAAGACCACGCTATGCGCATTCACTTTTCGCTTTGTTTCCCCTTGCTCGGAAACTTTTCACTATCAGCGTCGACCTCCACAACAGCGTATCAGACTTTGGCTAGCACTGCTGTGTTCAAGTTAGCACAGGTCATACGGAAGGCGTCTGCCGTTGCTGGCAACAAATTCTGCATTTGCGTGTTCCTATGCGAAGGAGATGCTCCGTTGCCATGGTGACACTGGCCATAGCAGACGGACTCTATCGTGCAGAACGATATGGCAGCGCGGCGAGATCAGATGCGTACTTGAGCTCTTTTGCCATGCTTTTCAATGGGCGGAACGTGAACAAAGAGAGTTTGAAATAAGGAGTTAATGCAGATGGCCGATTTTCTCAAGTAGCTAATATTTTGGTGAGCCTTACACAAAAGGCCCAATTTTGACGAAGTTTCTTGTACTGGAGAAGTTAAAATCAATGTGCCAAAAAAGAAATTGTAACCTTGGATAACATCTGGAAAAAAATTTACAAGCAGCAGCACTTAGATGTTTCATTTGTGACCTGAACTGTTCAAAATGCAGCCAAGGGAAATACGTATATTCCATAATGTAGGACATAGCGCAAAAGTAAACTCACGCACACCATAAACACTTTTGCTCTACTTTTGCACTATTTCCTACACTATGCATACCCAACTCGCCCAAGCATCCATCCAAGATGTATAATCCATATTAGCTTTCTTTAAAATGTGTGCTTGCACACTAGTGAGTTCAACTTTATTCTTGTCATCTTGAAAAACAACAAAAATATCCCCTGCCCCATTCTGAAGATATCTCCAATACATTAATTTACAGCTTCAGAGGCCTTTCGGGAGCACAGCGCAGCGGTGCTTCACTTGGGGAGCTCGGCTTCCGCCTGGACTGTATGCCGAAGGTGGTTCAAAATAGCTTCCATGGGGTCCTCCTGGAAGTGGGGGTGCTTCACAACCCTCTCTATGTGCTTCATATCCTGCAGCCTGCATCACAAGTTGCAAAGGTCCACATTAGCTCTATCAACAACATTGCTTCGACACATATGGACTACAGGCGCGCAAAAATCAAAATTTTGACTGAAAATCAAATATGAATTTTAAAATATGGCAGTGAATCGAATTCAAATAGTATTCTCAAATACATATATGTTCCATTTAATGTGAATCGGGCGTGAATACTTGAAGCAAGGTTGAAAATGTTGCATTAAAGGGGCCCTGCAATCATATTTAGCCGTCTACCTTTTTTGCGGTTTCCTCGTCTCTTGGGGTTCGGAAAAGCCAGTAGGCACGGAGGAAGTTACTAAATATCAGTGCGCCATATATTAACCGGACGACGCGGAAACCTCCTCCACCGACGAGGGCGACCCGCAGTGCCGAAAGCGCGCGAAATGCGACGCCTTTGGTCTTGGGCTTACTACTGGTCAGAGCCGCTAAAAGCTTCTTTTTAGTCGAAATGCATAATATAAGTTACACGAACCGTTTCAATTATGTATGAAAGTAGTTTTTGTTCAGTATTCCAGATCAGAAAAAAAACAAATTCAGTTTATAAAGTACCGAAACAAGAAATGACTCGTCGACATACCCGCCACCAAGCGGCAGAAAAAACGGCGCATACTAGAAAGAGCTAGTAAGGTGAAATACCGACGAACGCGGAGCGTAGAAAGGTCCTGGATGTACACGGCAGCGCTGCCGTCGTCTACCGGCTCGAGGATCTGACCGGTTCCGAGCGCTCCGAAGGCCTTCGGCACGAGCTTGGCTGGCGATTTTGCCATTTGGCGGTACGGCAGCGCGAAGTGACTCCCGTTCTGAACTGATCTTTACCCCGCGTTTGCTGTCGTTTGTGGCCAATGAAGTGTTATGCCGAATTAGTCTTTAATCGCGCAGCAAATGCAACGAGAGCCGCCCTGACCGCTCGTTTCATACAGCCTATCCAATACATGCTTTAGTGGCGCCCTCTCGAGCCGTCGACACAGAGTGGGGCAGCCGTAAGTGCTCGATGAGCTCACTACCCCTCCTCTAGTTCACGGCCACTCAAGCCAGGACCTACAACGTCATGAAGGAGGTTATTTTTTGCTTGTTTTTGTCATTCTAATTTGCCTATAACTTTTAAAATAAAGCAAAATTTGAGAAAGGAAAGGTTTCATTAAGTTACTACGTTTAGTGCGCTCAGGTTCGGTGCAAATTAAAAACCAGTCCAAAAGTCCTTGCAGGGCCCCTTTAAAACTTGTGCTTGGGCATGCTGGTCCACTCCATATTAATTAAAAGGCTTAGAAGTGCCTGTCCTGTTATTTTCGTGTCTTCTTTGTACTCGTTTTGTTTGCACTTCTTAAACCTTCCAAATGAAAACGTTTTTTCTAGAAAACATACCTTGGGAAAAAAGAGTTTTGATGTGTGAGAAAAATTTCACATATGGTACTTGGATTTAGCAACAATGGGTACTCATGAAATGAGTTGGGTAACACGTAATGCGACATGGCAGGCAAAACAATGTGTATGTTATTTATTTAAATATAGCTTGGTGTTTTCTTTTGCAACAATATCTTTTAAAATTAAGTGTTGAAGAATCATTATTACAAAAAAGTCAGCAAAATTTCCAAACCCATCGACAAGTCACGACGCATCAGCTGTTTCTCCGAGTACACCAGTGCAAAGCAGTGAAGCTTGAAGCCAGAATGCTGGCGTGAAGCTTTATATGAGAAATTCTACAAAATTGTATTAATAAATTTTTAATTTTGCAAAGTCCCAATTACTTGGAACAGTAAAAGTGGGATGCGAATCGAACTGAAGTGCAAACACACAACGCAAATTATACAGTTTCCAGTATTTGCGATTGAAGTGCAAACACATTACGCGAATCTGCCAATACCTGTAGTATTGGCAGATCTGTTAACGATGAAGTGCCATGTGATGAAAACTTTGCATGCAGCCCTACGTGTGAGAATAGGTCACTGTTGGTACAGTGGTACCATACGAATAGCAGGTGACCTTAAAGGGGTAGTGAAACGAAATTTTAGCGCCGATCTTGTTGCATAAATATGGGCTAGGGACAGGCACCACCTCGGAAATATAAATATCGCGCTGTAAAACACAGGAGAACTAATTTTAAACATAATTAAACGATTTCAAATTCTCATCTGGTGGAGGGGGGGAAGTTCTCGTGACATCACTTGTGGCATAGGAGCAGCGCCGTTCTGCGGCAATACGGCGTGCCGGCAGAATTCGCCTAGGCCTGAACGCGTTTGCAAAGCCTTGGCGGAGAAAGCCAAAGCGTAGTTGGCCACAGTGAGCTCGTTCTCGTTGCGGCCCTTTGCACGACACGACCCGAGCATGCTTCTGGCACGGCCGGTATTAGTTGCTGCGAGTCGCGAGCTTCGAGCCGACGTTAAAAAGGATATGTTTGAACTACGAGGGTGTCAGCAAGAGCCACGCAAATACCTGTTCACACTCAAAGCGGACACGCTCGTTTGATCGAAGTGCTGGATTCGCTCTGTTAGACCGCGTCTCGGTAAGCGCTTCTGGACCGATCTTTTACGATTGCAACTCGAGACTGACATGACACTCGGCAAAGAAAGGTTAGACCGACATCGCGTAGCTCCCACGAACTGCTATAGCTCGACAGTGACGTAGCGTCGTGTCAGAATAAAAATGGCATACTAATGGCGAATTCGCGTGGTCAATCGTCGGCAACTTATTTTGCCGGAAAACCGGCAATAGTGTTCGCGTGGTCAGTTTCCGGCCGGCGCGCACCGTTCGGGTGGTGGTTCTCCGGCAAGCACCGGCAACTTTCCGGCGTTTTTACCGCCCGAGCTCCGAACGGCCGGGCGAGTGGGCGCCAGACTGTATCCGGTGTCGTCACTTCCGAAATGAGAGAGAAGGTCAGTGAGAAAAAAAATGAACGAAAGAATGAAACTGATCTGAAGTAACTTTGGAAGCCGCTACAAAAGTCAATCCAAGTCGTTGGGACATGAGTGACGGCGGCGACAGGCTCTCGCTAGCGGTGTCGCGCGGGCAAGAGGCAAAGTAAACTGCCACCGTCTGGCGTTTCGTGTTCGGGTGGTGAGGGTCACGTGGTGTGCCGCCGGCGCGTTTCTGGTTGCCGGTTCCACCGGCTCGTTCTCGCCGGCAACTGACCACCCGAATTCGCCATAATAACAGAGTGTACATACCGAGTTGCGAAGGTAATCCGTATGGCGTTTATTTGAGCTCTATGTCACACAAAACAAGGAGATAGAATCAATGAGAGTCCCTTTTCGACGACAGCGTTCGTCACCGCTGTCTTGGAAAACAAGGAGATCGAGATGACAAGGGGAAAATATTGACCTCTGAAATTTAGTTCAGGGATCAAACTACTCATCCGGGAAGGGTCCACAAGGGTCGCACGGGCATATTCCATTCAGCAGGCCAGCTGGTCATGGACAGACGGTCTTGGCCAAGGACCGCCGGAGCAACGGTGCGCCGAGTCGATGTTGCTGCTAGGCCTACTATATTCTGCCGAGCTCGCTCGGTCGGCAGAATCGTGGCCGTTGTAGCTCTTCTCGTGTGTTTGTGGATCCTGCGTTCTTGATCGTCGTGGTCTGTTTTAAGTACTCCTTCCTTTTTTCTTGCTGGTTGAAGTCGGGACGCACGAGAAGAGCACGTAGAAAAATAAATGTCCGTTGGTGGCCGCTACCAAGTAACTGAGCGACGCTGTCGGCCTTGTTGATTTGATCGTAAAAAGTGCGTAAGACAGCTTTGGAGCTGTCGTAGGATTCTGTCGTAACCTGCGCAAAAGTTACGACAATTTCGTTTGGAGAGTACAGGTTTTCTCTCAAATTTGTCGTACACACTTTTTTCGTCGTGAGTTCGCTTTGAGAATCCGGCCTCAGAGCTGGTTTTGTCAGTGCTGCCGTGGTTGCCGACTTGCCGTGGTGCAGCGTGCGTGCAGCCCTTGCACATCTCAAACGGCCACGTTGTCACAGGTCGTGAATTGTCGACGCCCCACCAAGTGGCAACGCTCGTAACCACAACATTCACGCCGTAGCCTTTCCCGCCTGGCACAAGTGACGTCACGAATGCGCCCAATATCCCAAGACGCATCGCGCTCTCCGATGGCCGATTTTTGAGCGCGCACCCAATCGGGCCCCTTAGGGTGAAAAATATAGCCATCCATTCAAAAAACAAACGCGCGATTATGATTTATGAATATCATTGATCATATTGAACCTATTTCTGACCATAATAGGTGTATTTCAAGTTTCGCTTCAGTCTCCCTTTAAATTCAAAGTAACGGAAAAGGAGTAGCATATACTCACATCAGCTTTTGGTTTGCGCGGAAGCTGCGAGATGCCCTGGGCTTTTCCTTGAGTTCCCTGCAATAACATGAAAGTAAATGCTGCCTTCATCCAACTAGTAGAATTGCGATGCAATTGATCAATGTTCAGAACATCCAATGATCAATGATCAATGGATGTTCTAAATTTACAAACTGACATTAACCATGAACATGATTGTAAACCTGAGACTGGGGCAGAAAAGAGAACACAACAGAAGGTAGAAAAAGAGGAGGCAACGTTGAGACACTGCCTCCTCTTTTTCTACCTTCAGTTATGTTCTCTTTTCTGCCCCAGTCTGAGGTTTACAATCATGTTCAACTTACACCAGCTCGCTTGCACTCTTATATTTTTACATTAACCATGTTTCAAGATGGTGTGAATTATGGGGGATGGAACTTAACACGACTAAATGCAAGGCTATGAGAGTATCACGTAAATGTAATTTTCCTTCTTGTTTTCTCGAAGATGTCCCCTTACTTTCTGTCTCTTCTTATAAATACTTAGGTGTGTATATAACCTCAGATATTTCCTGGCAAATGCATGTTGAGCATGTTATTAATAATGCTATCGAATGCTGGGTTATCTAAAACAAAACGTTTCACTTGCCCCTTCATCTTTGAAACTGACCCTGTAGAAAACGCTTGTACGCTCTAAATTACAATATGCTTCTTCTATCTGGGACCCCGGTCATTCCAAACTAACTAATGCCCAGGAATCAGTTCAGAATCGCTCTGCTCATTTTATTCTTAATAACTTTCATCGCACCGCAAGCGCGAGCTCCATGAAAACTAGCCTATCGTCGCCTAACCTCTATTTACGTCGCAAAATAGCTCGCTTATGTCTTTTTCATAAGATATACCATACAAACTCATTACTTACAACCGACTGCTGAATCATCCATCTCATATTTCGTCGCGCATTGATCATATGTATAAAGTAGACATTCTAAAATGTAACACTAACGCACTCCAAGAGTCGTTCATTCCGAAAACTTCAGTGGATTAGAACCTCCTTCCCGCATCTATCCCAACAATTGTTCCTGACCACGCATTTAGAACTGCCATTAATAATCTATACTGCTCAGATTGAGCTGCAAAGTGTACAACTGCCACTAACCCCCACTCCCCTCTGTAATGCCAATGGCCTTGAGGGTATTTTAAATAAATAAATAAATAAATAAATAAATTCATCATTGGCAAGCAATTCAATCAATTATGTGAGACAATTCTATGTAATTCTCTCCTCAGGAAGAAAGACTAGCCAACAAGTTTTTAAGGGGTCTCAAAATGTCATACCCCGACTTGAGAGACATCCTATCCAGTGTGGGCAGTGCATCCGCCAGAAGACCCATGTTGAGGCTCGTGGCCACTTTCTTGCGCCGCTTTTGTGCCTTTCTCGTCGCCTTCACCGTCTCAAGTTCTGTGCAAACAACAAAGAAAGACCAAGAAACATCAAAGTGGGGCTGAAGCAGAACTTAATCCAAAGCTAAGAATTGAATGCGGAGCACAAGTTTATCTGCTTCTTTTTGCAGAGGTTGTGGGGACGTCAGAACGCCAGGATCAGAACGCCAGGAATGGCTTAGAGAGCCATGTAAACTATGGTGCGATGAAGCCTTTTCTTAACTGTACATTCCACAGCCAGCAGTAAACCATGCAACTCTGCCGTTAAAACGATGGCAGAAGGGTTAAGTTTTTTCACATTGCGAACAGATGGTTTGATCATTCCACAGCCAACAAAAATCCGTGTAAACATTGAAGTGGTGCTGGCACTCGCTTTGTACTTCAGAAAATGCTTGCCTCAGCACTTTACCCGGAATATCTTTCTTACTGTGTTGTCAGATTGAAGTTACAATTAACGAGAAAATAATCTCAAGGAGCTACAGAGCTTATCCGCTTTGTCACGGGGTCAATGTCAAAGCACTCTGCTGCCTTAGTATGCCTCAAAGAAAAGGGAAGGAGATTTTGGGATAATTTTGAAAAGTCCTCTCAAACTTGATTTTTTTCAACTGATTCAAGAGGTGGATGCAGAGGAACTGATCTTATCCGGAGTTAATACATAAACCCCAAGGCGAAACATCTTTTCTCTAGAGAATATTCATTAGACTCTGCACAGAGGCTGGCTATCGGAGAGGTGCGGAAAGCACCAGTGGCTAGTCGCAGCTCCTGATTATGAATGGGGTCCAACGTCTTCAATGCTGAAGCGTTGGCTGAACCTCACACAAAACTCTCATAATCGAGTCGGGACCAAACTACAGAATGATAAATGCGCAGGAGACAGAGTCAATCAGGACCCCAAGATTGATGGGACAACGCTTTGAGAATGTTGAGCGATTTGACACAACTTCAATTCCTTACTGTGCAAGAAAAACATTAACTTTGAATATAATAGAGGATATAGAAACTTGTGTCCACTTTCCAGCACGATAGAGAGTCTACAGGTAGTTAAGCAGGGACCATTGCTTCCCCTCGGTGGCAGTGTGTCCACCGAGAACAATGAGCTTCCCCTTTGACCTCGCCGTACTGCGGGTCGGGAGAGGGCGAAGAGATGCCTGCAGGGTGCTGCATGGGCTCTTCTTTCCATCATTCAGGAAGACGTTTGTGCCCCCCCTCCCCCTCCCCTACTATCCCCCATTATGTACGACAGCGGGGGACATGCCGAGCGGCTGAGCAGGGTCTGCCGGATGTGCGTCATCGGTGACGCTGCCGGCAGTTTGCGCACCCAACGGCGGCCAGAAGCAGCGGAGGGGGTAGGCTGACTTCCAATCGTGTCCAAGATGGCCGTTCCCGTCCTTCTGTTGTCAGACCTGACCGAGGCGCCCAGTTGAACCAGGCTTGTTGATGCAAGCCAGGACACGGATGTCACCTGATGCTGGCTCCGAAGTGTACCTTCGACTTCACCACCGGTTCCTGCACCCATGTCCAGAGTGATCACGGGCGGACTTTTAAGCGCATGACCCTGTCCACTTCGATGGGGATCGGCCCATGATGAGTCGACAACGTGCAGAATGAGTCGAGCAACACCGCCGAACATCCACGTCTGCATGTGAGTGGCGTTTGGTATTCTGAAAGAACTTCCTGTTGGACCCATTGATCGTCCGATATCAGGGGACTTGGTTTCGTTCAATGACACCGGAGTGCATCGCCCCTCCAGTGAGTCCTGATCTCCGGTACGTTGAACATTTATGGCGGCGGTGGTTCCGTGGAGTGCCGGGGCCCCCGACTCAAGATGTTGTATTTGTGAACGCGACTGGGCTGCTTGCTGTTAGCGTACAGGTCTTGTATTTTGGGTTTGAGAGCTGACGCCTTTTTCCTGAAAGGGTTGCCAAATGTTTTAAGGATAGGGGGCTTGTGGAGCCACTGGTTTCCCTCCCCCAAAAAGGCGTAAGCCGCAGACATTCCACACAGAGTCGTCTGGCTTCGAGACTTGGTTCCATATCGTGTCGGGGAGTACGCCACCATGCTGGCCTACCCTCTTGCACTCCTCCGCATGTCTCCCATTTTTGGGAGACCAGCAAGATCGCGTAGGACATTTGGGCCTTCCCTCCTCCGAGCGGACGGCCGTCTGGTTGAGGAGTCCTGGACTGGGACCCGGGCAACGGGTCAAGTCACGGCGTATGAGCTCGTCCGACCGGCGATGACTCAACGCTAGCATTTTCCCTGGCTCTGACAGTTGGTATTTCCTCCTCCGAGCGGACACCCACCTGCCGAGAGTTCTGGCCCAAACTCCTGCACGACGGGTAGAGACGCGACCTCGGCCCACCGGCAAGAACTCCGCTCGCAATACCCCTTTGGCTCAGGTCGGCGGGCGCTGTGGGCACTGTCCACGGCTCGCTTCACCGCAGTGTCCTGTTCGGGACCCCCGCTTTCCAATAAACGTTGTTGGATACCACGATCACTGTTGGCATGAAACCCGGCGCGACGACTGCCCTCGCTGGTAGCCGTGGACCGCGCAATGGGACGGGCATCGGGTTCCCCTTTGAGCACCAGTCCCCGGATGTAAAGGTATGTAATCCTCCCCAAGACGTTAGGTACATTATTAATACCTGTTCTTGCCAGTTACATCTAATTTTGTCTTGTTTTCAAGCCCACCACGATGGAGCCAGCCATAGACAAAACCTACCACAAATTGCGGCTTTAACTACACCGACGATGGACAATAAACTAGTTCTCTCTTCATTCAAAGGAAAAAAAATTGTTTTTTTAAACAGTCTAATTGGGACAAGAATGTCAAAAAATAAATATTATGCAAAAAAAACAAACTTTTAAGCAATATTGACGGCGCAAGATTTTGAATTTCTGCGAGCAAAGATTATGACGTTACGGAATGGTCTTACACTCTTTCCAGCTCAACAAGATAGTCATACACTCCCTCCGTCTTAAGGAGATGGCCAAGCCGATCCACCTCTCCTCCACGCGCCCGAAATGCGGAGAGAAGACAAGTAGAAAGGAGGTGACTAACAACTAAATTGCGTCTCGCGCCATCAATATTGCTCTAAAAGTTTTCCTTCCTCATAAAATTTGGTTTTGGACACACGTGTTCCCAATTACTGTATAAAAAAAAACATTGCCTTTCTTCTCAGTAACTTTTTAAGTCAAGCGAACCCTCCCTATTGTAGGCACACACGAAACAACGCTGCACAAACTTACTTTTCAAGAAGGCGTCACGCCGCATCTTCCGCTTCTCCTTCTTGGGCACGTGTCTGGCGTCAAGCTTGCTGGAGACCACCGAGATGTTGTCGTTCAGGTCCAATTTCACGCTCAGTTTGGCAGGGTCGATTATCACGTCGTCGAAGAGGCCCGTCAACTGGTAGGGCTGGGGCTGTGTGTGCACCTTGCAAGAAAAAGGGGACTTTGCACCTGGGACTGCATACGATATGTGGCACTTGTGGTGCAGAGAGGGATGCACAGGCTGAGAGAAGATGCTAGAAGGTGCAACGCTTAACAGCTGAAGCTGATAATTCCTATTGGGCAGGAGATCGAACTATAGGGGGAGCTTTATCAAGCTTGTTGTCCCCCCAGCCCAGTGTTCACCAACAGAGAATAACAAAGAAATTGAACCTCGCCATGCACGGTCTGGACACGAGCGCTTCACTCTTATCAGTGCTTTGGTTGCACGAGGAGCGGCCTTCGAATCGTCACCATCGATATCGCTGATCAAAAAACAAACAAGAAAATTCAGCTTGTTGTCCCCACAGCTGAAGCGTGCCGTCAGAGGCGTGACTGTTCGAACTCCTCCCCAATACCTCCTGTTAACTGAAAAAAAAAAAAAGAAAAAAGAGAGGAGCCTTCCAGAAAAGTATGGAGCAACTTTACCTAACCCCGAACACGCTAAGCACCTTAGCAAAATGCCCAGTTCCAGATTGGTTTTGGTAAGAAAGCGATCATTAGCTTGTGTGTGCTAAATAGACCATAACCTGTCTTACCCTACAACAAACAGCAGTAGACACTACGAGCCATCCCAACCAATCCAGCGCTGCAAACCTATCGCATGACTATGCGGCTCGCACGTCAGTGTGCCGTCCCATAGGTCACGTGACACCCACACAGAGTTGAATTGCCTTCAACAAGTCGTAGTATCCTTTGTGGTCCATCATATGTCTCTTCAAAGCCGTTCGATTAATTGTTTCGGACAGCTTTCAGCTGGGACTAGAAGAGATCTGCCCCGATCCCGTGCTCTCCGCTCAGAAACTCCTACAAAGCTCTACCATCACGTCCATTCGGACCGTTAAAACATGGATCTTGACCAGGGAAGTTGTAGAACACATTATAGGCATGAAACCTGGGTGGAGTGAACAAAGATTACTTTAATTAGATACATGCTAACATGTCATGCTCGTTCCTACAGGTATGTCACAGTATTTCTTTTTCCTTCTGTTCATAGAAGGCGGGGGTAAACAATGTAACACAGCTTTTTAAGGTAGAGGGCAGGCACGTCTAAACATTATTCGAATGGCATCTCATGTCTCTTCTTTCCACCATTCTTACCCTTAAAGGGATACTTCAACGAAATTTGAAAAATATCCGTCGTGTTCAAATATAGGTTGAATATGATCCACAATATCCGCAAATGACAATCGCACATTTGTATTTTGAGCCTGGTGGCTGCATTTTTTGTTATAAACGGCCCACTCTAGCAAGCACTCGGAGAAGGCCCAGCTTAGAGCACATGACATCCGACGCAATCGTGACGTAGGTCGTCTCGGGACGAGCAAAGCTGCGGCGAGGCTGACGTCATGGGGATGGCTTAGTCGTTCCAGCCACCGAAGCGGCTGCTTTTGTATGAATTTTGAGTGATGGGTTAATCTTCTATAATCTTGTAGGGGGACAATATATAGCTACTTCTGGAACACACAAAAGGGATTCTCGGGAAGGCGGGAGTTCCTCCTTCCCCTTTTCTCTCGTCATGGCCGGAGGCGAGACATTCACCGTCACTAGCTGTCAAGGTTCCTAGACGGGCATTACAAACGAGGCGTTAGCGACATCCACCAGGTGCTCTTTGCTAATCGTTTAATTCGTTTTAAAATTCCTTTTCGAAACTTTTTTAACAAGGTATTGGTATGTTCGATGTGATACTGCTTTTTTGAACATATATAGACCATAAAATTAGCGCCGAAATTTCGTTGTAGTATCCCTTTAATAACACTTTACACCTTACCCAACAGCTCTATTATCATCGTCACCGTTTAACAAAAGCCTCACGGGCAATTCTAAGGCGACAATCACTTCCAAGTATTCAAGCTGCTGTTCACAGATAAGTGTCGTTTGTTTATCAATTCCTTCATCCATGTGTAACTGTTTTTCAACGACACCAGTAAGGTTGGGAGCTCAGCCTTCACAGTAAGTAATAAGAGTGGGATGACCCATGGCACGTGAACGACGGCCTGAGGGACGTCCTGTGAAAGGCATGTTTACACACAGAGGCCACAAACGGTCGTGATAGAGACCTGCACGACGAGGTAGTATCAAACGGATGAAGATCACCTCATCATCCATGGCGGCATCTTGAGATTCTTTCTGGCTCTTCTCCGCCGCTCTGTTGGCGGCTCTGTGGTATTTGAACCTCTTCGTTTTTACCTTCCCCATCTGAAAACGAGACGACGGCACTATGCTATGTCAGGTGTGTGGGGTGGTCCATGACGAATGCGATTCAGATCAACGTCGCGCGACAAAAAGGACGCGAACAGAAAACAGGATGACGTTGCCCTAGATTCTCGCCTTTCAATGAACCCTTCCGACAGCAACGCACTAGCTTCCAGTCAGTGCTGTTCCAGTCAACAACGTCCCACTCACGCGGCTACCATCCAGCTCCAACTACAAAAGCGAAACGAAAGCGTGCACACAGCAACAGGGCAACAGCGGCAACAGTTTTACCTCGTTCAATTATTCATAACGTGCCTTCCAGAACGGGAGTCGATTAGATCAGGCGCGACGTCATAACCATAGCGCATCCTTGGAAGGAATCAGAGCGTCACGTAAGCGACAACTTTGGTGACCGACAACCTTGGCGACTCCACGTTGGCGACAACACAAACTTCCCGTAAACCACTGTGCCGTAAACAAGCGGCAAATCGAACACATTAACATAGCCTCATACCCAGGACCACCCAGGAGTCCAGCGAAAACTGTCGCTTGGTGTCGCCAGTGTCGCGCCCTGTTTTTAAATGTCACGTGGCCCTTGTGTTTACGTTGTGTTTACGGAAGGCAAGCGAAAGGACAGATGGAGAGATCACGCGGAGTCGCGGGGTGGGCGGTTCATTCCTCCGCGCGTTGCTGCAACTTGCTGGGCACGCAGTCGGCGCATTCGTGGAGTTGGTGCAGTAGTCGCCGCGAACTGTAAGGGCAACGCCTGTCAGTCGCGTTTGGACGTCGGTGGTATCGCTGCGTCACCCTCTGACTTCGGCTACTTTTCAGCAGGTGAGCATGCGCTATCGTGTCTTGATATTCGGTTAGCGCTGCTTCGATCTAGGCTCACTCGTCTCTGTTCATTGCGCAATCACGCACTTGACGTCGATCGCATATGGAAATGCGGTGCGTGACATCTCTTTCTCGGTGGAACGGGGACAGGGGGCGATGTGTCATTCATGTAAGAACTTCTCATATAGAGGTACAGAGATAGATCGGATGACAACTACGCGTTCTTAAGAAAAAAAATAGGGTCAAAGCTCGTTGAAATTTGCCTTTTATTTTTTTTCCCCCGATTTTCTGCGCGCGTTTTAAACGCAGTCCACTCAGCTGACGAAAGGGTGAGCATTCCTTCGCTTGATTTTTTTTTTGTCGCGCTGCGTCCTTGCTCACGACGATGCGTTCAAACATGTTTCGGCGACTTCAGCGATGCGCGGTATTTGTAAGAAGCGGATTGCCTGCTTAACTCGGCGCACGTTTTCCAGCGTCACAAACTACTTGGCGGAGTTGTGCTAATAGCTTTGCTTTGCTGCTTCGCAGTCATCTCCTTTTAATTCCGATTGTTTTTAGTTTTGATACACGTTTGAGGGTTATTTTGTCATTGCTGAAATGAGTTCGTACATTACAGAGCGTTTTCTTCTTGAAGAGGTTATTTGCAAATCATTATGTTGTTTGTAGAGAAACGAAGTCAACCGATTGCCGAATCAGATTGCCCATCAAAGCAGTTTGTTGCATTTTTAAAACAATAACATCAACAGAAAAAAAAAATTGCTTTTTCTTTTGTAGTTGGAACCTCCTCCCTATAAAGGCATTGTATCATTAATTTTCATCAACAAGCTACGGAGTACCTTCCGCAGTACACTTCCCCCTTGCATACGAGCTACCATCATGTGGAAACATTTCACCTCGCCTCCTACATGTTCCTACGAGCATGGATCGTTTCAGAAGCCTAGGTGCATGAGCCCTTACGAAACCGGCGGTTGATTACACTCCTCTCTTTATCCACGGGCACACGTGGCATCCTTTGCATTGTCCCGACGTTTACAATTCCACAGCCCAAAGTCCAATCACCACGGCCCAGCACATGCATGCTTGTCGCTTCTGAAAATAAGCAAATTGTGTGTACGCACTAACTGAATACAGCACCGGCCAGAGACCTTTCTTTGGAACTTTCTCTACGAGGTTACGGGTCTGTGAGGATCTTTGGGCAGCGTAGTTGTCATAAATTTGTTTATTCCTAACCCCTAGGTAGTCATTTAGGGAGACCGCATTGTATTCTTTAGGCCTACTTGAGGCATACCAAATTTCCCAGCAATTTTGGGGTTGCTGGCAAGTTGCCCCCTAGCTTTCCCTAAGTCCTTATGCTGCAACACGAATTTCTGGGATCGAGTTTGGCTCGAAACGGGCGAGCGACTCGGAGGCATCCGAAGCGGCAGCAGCCAATCAGGGACACAGTATTTTTATGAGACACTCTTGTGGTAGTGACGATAACAACTAAAGATGGAGGTTTAACTTGGTTCTGGTTTGAAATAAATTGTTTCACAAAGACGAGTTAGTGCTCTCAATGCAATTTAAAGATATACATACATGTTTGTACCGCGTAACTGTACGTCTAAGTAGTGCAAGAAAATTAAAATTTTAATGGTGATGATGGTAAATCGTAGCAATTTGGTTGCTGCATGTGAATGCGGGGTGACTGTGTTGCTGGCATTGCGACATCAAGTTGGTAGCATGAACTGCTCAGTCTCAAGTGGGCCTAGGTTCCAGCCATCTTCAAGTTGGAACACTTATTGGAATGAAACTGCCACAAGCCCCGCACTGTCCTCGGTGCCATCAACATTGGGCCTGTGTGGAGGAGGGGGCTCGTGAGGTTCTGTATATTGAAAAAGTGCAAACGAGTCTGCAAGTCTATTGAAGCCAGGGGCGGATGCAGGTATTTCCTAAGGAGAGGGGGGGGGGGGGGGGGGGGGGTCAGGTGTTGGTCAGAGTACCATATTTGTTTAGGAAACCCCTCTCCCTCGTTTCACGCCCTAAATTTTACACATGCAGAAATCAAGAGGGGGGTCAGGACATCTGGACCCCCCCTCTAAATCCGCCCCTGATAGAACCACTTCATTTTTAAGATATTTCCGACCTCAAATTTTGTGCTTTTAACAGTCCACAGCTATACTCTGTTGCAGGTTAAGAAAAGCAGGGCATGCTGCTCCCACAAAGCCCTACACTCCTTCCACTTTGCCAGAGGGGAGGCAAGACAAGGAAGGACTAGCCCCATCTCTGACATTCACTCTGCTAAAGTAGAATAGGCGGAAGGCTTAATCGGAAGAACTTGTCCTGCCTTACTTAACCTTCAACAAGGTATAGCTATGATGTTCATAGCTGGAAATACATAAATTGGCTAGGAATCGTGTACTTCAACAACCAAGATTGTTTTTTTTTTTACTCAAATACTGTAAAATACCAAACAAGCACCCACCTAAACTTTAGAGATAATCTTAAAATGCAAAAATTCAGGAGGAGCACATAATAGGAAGTGCTTCTCCACTTTGCACCGGTGTGCCTATAAGAAGCAGCTCACATGGAGGAGCATCTCGGCTAGCTAGATGCAATCAGAAGTCTAGAGTGGGCGCTTGATACGTCCTTTGCTTCTTTTTCAAATGCTTCATAAGTTGCTGGCAGATGCTTATTGTGATCTGGGCCCATGCTCAGTATCTCATATTTTATGGTATATTAAAAAAAGCAAGTGCTTCAAAGTTTGATTTTTTTTTAATGTCAACTTGGGAAGAGGTTTTGTCTAGGGAGCAATAATAAACACATATGCCTCTGTGAAGAACAAGTTTTTCTTGAGTAGTTTCCGTACGTATTTACTCATCAATTAAACATTTTCTAGTCCAATGGGTATAGTTAGGGTTCTGCGTTTTCGGTTTCTATTTTTTCAAAATTCGGCGTACTTTTTTCGGTGTTTATTTTAAAATTCAATTTTCGGTTTTTTTCGGCGTATATTTATGCCCGCAAAAGTTTATCGGCTTTTTTTCGGTGAATATAAAATAAACAGCAACGAACACCGGATCAGTTGATCCTTGTAGTTCTCATATTTGTGATCACTCAAAGAATAACGGCACAGGTACATTGAAAAAGAAATGGACACTTAATTTGGCAAATGTGTGCAGCTTTAAAAGAAACAAGGAAAAACCTGAGAGGCACGAACAAGTCAGATATGAAGCCTATGTCCGAAAAACATAGAGCTTCACCTTCTGTACATCAGGTTTACGTTATCTTATAACAGTGCACCCACATGTACGTTCCCAGGTTCTCCTCGTTGATCCGCACTCTTTCTTTCCTGTTAATATGGCCTTGAGCTTCGAGAATGCCCTCTCAACACTAATACTGGACACTGGCAGGCTCAGGAGAGGAAGCGCTGCCTGAGCCAAAATCGGCCAATCAACCAATTGTGACCGCCAAAAGAGAGACGGTGCGACTTTGTGATGCTCAACGCAGCATGCAGAGCTTGCATCAAGTCCGTCTTCTTTAGAACGAGTTTGAAAACACGCTCGTACATGGCGAAGTTATGGGGCATTTCGGACTGCACGTTCCGATTGATGATGCGCACATTAAACCAAAACGTCGTGATGGCATCCGTGTATCCCATACATTCGGACACGTTTCGATAGACACTGTCGTTCCACGTTTTCGCCACGGCTCTGCGGTACAACTGGAAGGTCAAAGTGACCTCTTTCGGTTAAAACTGAATTTTAGAAAATTTTTTCGACATACTTTTATCGGTTTTAATATAAAAAATGCCGAACCTAAAAACTGACCTTTTTCGGTTAAAACCGAATTTCCGAAAATGGATTCGGCGTACTTTTATCGGTTTTTATCGGTTTAAACCGAAAACTCCTAACCCTAGGTATAGTGTATTTGCTTAAATGCTTGGTTGAAAGATCTGCACTTGAAGAATGATGAACTGCGTGTGTTGCTAATTTATAAACTGCCTTCCATGAATCTGTGACTTTCTCTACTGTTCAGTCAATATAATGGCAATTAGAGTGAGAGTAAACCTTTTCATCTTAATAATTGTTTCTACCATACACTGAATATTTTTTGTTTAAAGAAGTTAGATGCATTGTGTTAGACCAGGGGTGGCCAAATCGCAGCTCGCAAGCCTCATGCGGCTCTTCGGGGGCACCGGTGCGGCTCGCGGCTCCCTGGCTTGGTAACCCCTCCCCCGCAGCAAGATCAACTCATCGATCAAGGTCCTTGTTTTACATATGGAGACTCACAATAAAGAAACATATTGAGCAATCCTTTTATGAGTGGAATTTGCCATGGCCACCAACTGAGAAGACAGCTTGTTTTGAAGTGACGTGCCCCCTTTTTTTGTGGCTCTTTGCTTAAAACGGTTTCTTTTTTATGGCTCTTTCAGTATGTCTGTCTGGCCACTTCCGTGTTATGCCCAAGTCCCACTAGAGCGACAAACAGAAACAAACGGCAGCGACAAGCCTGAAACAGATGAACCATGCTCGCGATGGTACCTTTGGCAGGCGTTTAGTCATTGGGTGCTCGTGAAGTAAGCACGAGTGATTCCAAGTTTGCCAAAGATACCCGTGCATACATGACGCTGTGGGAATTCGCGTACCGCCGCCGATTCGCCGTTTCCCACGTTGTCCGTCAACAACCCGAGTCCAGCCTGGTTCTTTCACGGGAGCGGGATTCCGCTCCCAGTTTATTGGTACAATAAAACACAACACTACAAAACACTCAATCTAAACTACAAATACAAGCTACATTACACAATTATTTACAAATGCACATTAAGGCTAAAGCTAAACACAAAGGAGGCCCTTAGGCCTCGCGTCCCGCGATATCCTAGATCCGGTCGCCACCCACTTGCCTGCCAGTCCCTGCGTCTCGGTCGCGTCCGGAGTTCTTAGAGAGCCTCTCGCCCCCTGCTCCACCGAGTATATCTATCGATGGGCGAGAAGGTTTCTCCTCGCCTGCCACGGGGGCGCCTGCAGCGCCCTCCAGTGGCTAGGAGAGAAAGCGGCGCGTCGGGAGCCGAATTCGAGATCCCGATCGACCCCGCGGCAACACGACCATGTGATCGTGTCGCGGCCAAGATTGGCCGAATGGTTTGATGGGCGCCCTCGTGAATTCACGGTGCGCCATAACGCTCATGTTTGAGCATAGCCTCCTTTATTATACAAAGCCTGTCAAATCGCAAAAGACTGGTTTTAGGCTTGTCGTTGTAATTTGTTTCTGTTTGTCACTCCAGTGGAACTTGCCCATTAGACCACCTGGACAGTTGCAGTTTTTCTGTTTTTTTAATGCAAAAGCATTAACTATCCCATGGAGCGGAGCCAGCGGTCTCTGTAACTGCAGAAAAACGCGAAAGAAATGCCCATTCTCCTATTGGCTGAGCAAAACGACTCCTAGATAGACATTGGCAGCCACTTCACAAGAGCGCGCGCTCGGCCGCCGCTTTGATGTCGGGCGTTGTCGTAGGAGGTGGGGGCTGCGGCTGCTTCTGCTCCTCTCGGCACCAAGGAACATGGCGGTGCCTGGGGCATCTATATCGTCATCAGCCGCAACCTCGACAGTAGCGAAATGTGGCCGCCGTCCACACCAGTACACTGCAGACAAGCCAAGAGAGCAGAAGAACGACATTCATGCTTTCGCATTCACAGCTCTTAAGAAGTGCTTAGGTGTCCTCAAATTTTTTTTTGTCAGATATGCTACATATTGACATGTTTTGTAGCGCTTTGCTACAAAACATGTAAATATGTAGCATCGAAAAACACATTGTTTGTGCACCTGTCGACAGACTGCAAGATTGTGTAGGATTCTACTTACTCATTTCCAGCCTACCACTCAATCATGTGTGACAAGCTGAAGATCAACCAGGCATGCCTGATGGTAGAGTCCCACTTTCCGGCACCCTTGGATCTGTACTCCCAGTCATCTGAATGTTATGGGGTGAGTGTATTGACTGTTACTGCTTTCAAGGTTAATCGAAGCTCTGCAATATTGTTTCACTCTCCTGAAACCAGGTGGTCAAATTTACGTGAAATCAGGCGATGAAACTTCAAGACCCCCTCCTCTTACACACACACGTAGACAGTCGGACACCATAGCAAGGTGGTTATTACAGGCATCTTTTTTTTTTTCTTTCATAAATCTATATGTGATATGAATTGAAAAATAAATGGTACTGAAGAAACTCTGAGGAGCAGTCGCTACAATCGTTTATAAGCTTGTTTCTGCACTAACTTTTATGCACTAATCCTACAAAATAAAACAGTGCAAACTTAAAACACATGGTTAGAAACAACAAAATAGTACACCTGGTGCAGTGTGGTTGCAGGCAAGCATTCTTGTATCAGTATGCTTGTGTAAACTGCATAACATTCAAACTGAATTGCCTGGCCCCTAGCAATGCTGGTTTCTTTTATACAAATGTTTTATTTGGAGCAATTTAAGACACCCTTCTTTGCCCTTTGAGGGCTGCAGGCAATCGACAGTGCCAGTTAATCAGTGCGCCTTTGTCCCCTTGCTTTCCTTCCCCGCTGCTCCATATATCTTAGTAGACGCTCAGACAGATAGAACCCAATCGTGCTGTGCCATGCTGCCTGCCGTAGAGCTGAGTAACCCCTTCACTATCTATCAGTTGGGATAGGGTGGCCCCTACAGTTATCAGCACACAATAGATATGGGACACATTCTGGAAATGTAGGTTATAGATTCCGTTTGTTGCGTTGTTCCTCGGTTGCTATAGATTCTACAAGCTCTGGGGGATTTGTGTGGCAGGGACCCATGAGGGATCTATTAATGTAATCATTTTCATGATGTTTGCTTCTAGTGAGTTGCATTCCCTTCTCAATATTTGAAGCAAAATAACTTCTAACTGTAGCTCTTTACTTTCTCTAGATTGTGTGCTGTAGTCACTTTTTTTTATTGTCTTTTTCGTTTTTTGCATTTGTTAATTTCACTAAATATGTCTTATGAGCAGGGCTATATTAAAAAATTTGTGAAGAAAAACAAACAAACTGCAGGCGTGCTGGTGAATGACATTCTCTGTCTCAGGTTTACATTAAATGTCTATAGTAAGTCTTTTTTTTGTATGTGTATGTGTGTATGTGCAGTTTACGAATCCCGGAGAAAAGCTTACTGGAGATATGCTTACCGGAGATAAGCTCACTGGAGAAAAGCTTACCGCAAAATTGGCGGATGCAGAGTAAAGCTCACCGGCCATTGAGTGTATGCGGAAAAAAGCTCACCGTTTTTTTTCTTCTTTTTATATGGAGGTTGTTGGATTTTTCAAAACATATCAATTTATTATTATTAAAATTCGTCAACTTCGTAAAAAAGAAAATGTCATTTTTTTGTATTATTTGTTAAAGGCCCGTTCACACTCTTGCGACCGAGTACGACTGAGAGAGACGAGATCTCTTACAACTTCTTAAATGTTTTTAGAATGAGGGAACACACTGACATTGTGGCGCCATCTATGCGGTGACCCTGGAACTGCATTTCACAAGTGCGAAGGTTTTGCAGGATTTTCGAGGTCAAATGTGCGTAATACCCATAGAAAGGCTCGTTTATAACATTGTCAAAAGTTTTTCAAGCCAAGAAAGAAAGGATAATGCTCGAGAAATAAAAAAAAATATGCCGGAGCGCCGAGTTTACACTGCTTTTTAATAGATGGCGCCAGTGTGTTTTCTGGTTTAACAAGTTTTAAGGAACCCAGGTTTAAGAGGTCGCAAGCAGTCGCAAGAGTGTGAACGGGCCTTAAGCATACTTCCTATATTGCTTCCCAATTTATTATTGCCGACCAGTGTTTTCTGGGTTTAATCTCTAGGCAACGGAAGCCTAACTGAAATCTTTAGGAACATAAAGAACAGGAAAAAGTTTGAAAACTTAATAATGTCTGGCTTAAACTTAAAAATAAAAACTAACTTTAGAAAATCTGAAAGGGCATGCGCAACAACGCAGTGCCTGAAATTCTCTTTGAAGCTTCTGTTAACCTTTGAAAACAGGATACACCGGTCAGTAGGATATCGAAATTTCTTTCTTCTACGGACATGCACGTTTTTGAGCCGTTCTTGCTGGTTTTTCCACGCGTTGCCTTTGTGTGATAGTGCCCTTCTATGGCGAGGCATCCATGACCTTTGGAGCTGCACACTGTCACCGTTGTTACTCGTGACCTATATACAATAGCTAGTCTTCTGTAAGGTAGTGAGTGGGTAAACGTAATACACTATGAAAACCGCTCAAACGGCGTCGACGGAGTGAAGACAACACATTGACAGGACGAAGCTGCTCTTGCAACTAAAGTTTTTTTTAGTGAAATTAACAGAAAGAAAACAGCGTACCCGCCTCTGATTATATCAACAAACACATACTTATCTACGAGGCACTGCACAACCTTTGGAGCTGAAGCAGTTCACACACCGCTATTCATATTAGCTTGCAAAGAACAAACCTCTTTATTTTTTACAGAACTACCGACAGCGCGCTGTCAGCTGTCTATAAATTGTTGTCTTTCTTGCCGGTGTCCAATGTTCTGATTTTATACTTGCGGCTTCTGTAACATACAAATTTGGTGATTACTAATTACTGAGGAATTAGTAAATATGCCCAATGAACTTCAGAATATTACAAAAAAGAGGACATATTTTTAATGAAGTGACAAATTTGAATTCTGTTCAATTATCACGTGTGACGCAGAATCTGCTAAGCTAAGGAAACATATTAAAAAAATCGGTGAGCTTTTCTTTTCTCCGGATCCGCTCACAGGCCGGTGAGCTTTTCTCCGCATCTGCCGGTTTTGCGGTGAGCTTTTCTCCGCCGCCCGCAATTTACGCCTTGTTTTTAAGGCATTGCAAGGATTTCCTAGATTTTTTGTTGTCTCTTCACACCTTTCTTGGAATTAAGGGGGAGTGGGAAGGAACACTGGCAAGGTAAAGGAAAGACTGGTTCTGGTGGGTTTTCCGCACTGGTTTTCCTTGCACAAGGAATAAAACAAATAAAAATAATGCAAACAAGACCTACTCAACGAGCAGCACTGGTTTGCCCTGCATGTGCTGACCCGTGAACTTCACACGAGAGTGGTTCAGTTATGGCTACTACGAATAGCATTGCATGATTTTCACTACCAGGGAATATGAATGTATACATATTCATGAACGGACGTTCATCGGTAAAACAATTAGCAGATACCACATTTTCCTGCACATATAGTTCCAGGGAGCCTTTCCTACAGCATTGTAGTCCATGCAAGAATTCTAATGAATAAATAGTGTTGTAAAGATAGTGCGTGAACATTCTTAGTTAAAATTTCTGTTTTGGATCTAGACATGCCTTCTCCATTCAGTCATTCACTAGGCCTACAATAATTGGGTCTGCAAGAAATTGTGCAGACATTCTTTGCGAGAGGTGGGTCAAGAAATGTGTGAATTATCTTAGTACCAAGTAGGGCTTTTCTCTACAGTGTCGAGCCTTGAGGTTCCTTAGTGGGCACAGAAGACTAGCAGTGCAAAGAGCATGCATGATGTCTGGGTTGTGATACAGCACCGCACGTCCTGGCGCTGATTGCATGGTGCTGCTCCTATTCCGAAACTGGATGTGATGCATTCTGCAGTGCCCTCTGCAACGGACAGTGAGGGTGCCACGTCTGTCCAATGCCAGTGCTGTTGTAGGAGCCATTCACGCACTCCAGTTTGAAGTGAGACATCATCGTTTGGGTGACACACTCCCTAACTGCAGGTGACTACACAGCTGTTTGTTTTTTCTCTTTGCAGACAGGTCATCGAGTTTTATGGCCAGCTTTATGCAGCCAGTATCTTGGGTCCTTCATTTTCGGGTGAAACCGGATATTTACAGCCTGAACATGTTCTTGAAGATCGAGTTAAACCAAATTTTTTTTTCTCCGAATTCGGAAATGGAATTTTATCATTTTCCAAATTACTCTGTGCCGAAAATATTTTCTAGGTAACAAAGGGTTGGTAGGAACATGTGCACTAGCTCCAGACCTCGGAAACAAACCTAGATTCTGTTGGTTTCAGTGAACTGCAGTGACATAGATTGAGCCCCAAAATGTTGCTTTTATGTCTTGTGAAGTATCCTTTACCCTTCTCTTTCTGTTTCAGCCAGCAAAAAACAAAATAAGAAAGAAAATAGTAGGATAAGAAACTACTGCCGAAACTTTTTTTCGAAAGAAACTCAAGATATTTTGTTTTTGTCAAACTGAAGTGATTTGTTGCACATATCGAATATCTCCAGAGACTGGACAGGACTAGAGTGGAGAAAGATGCTGGGCATGCAGACAATTATCTACCGCAAGCAAAAAGGATTATAAAAAATCGAAAAACCCAAGTGTACCTTAATGACTTGAATATTGTGAAGGAAAAAAAAACTTTCCTATATTCAAACTGAAAAATTACCTTTATTGTTATTTATAACTTCAAAAAGCCGAATTCTAGAATACTTTCCTGAAAAAAACGATTTACCCCCATATCCAAAAAAAAATTAAAAATTAAGAAGTTAGCCACAAAGGTTCTGGGATCCCACAATAGTGGATTAGAGACGAGCACTGGATCATGTCTCGAACGATGGTTCAGCACTCTCATTTCACTGCACTTGCATTGTAGCATTGAATGCACTCAAAATTTCAAAAACTGCTATAAACAAGGTCCCAAGATGTTTTGTGTGAAATTAGTAGGAATCTAAAAGATGGTGATTCCAGTAGTGCCTTTTGAGAGATTCAGCCGAAAGCCGCATGCACCGACACAGGGGCTCCCAAGACAACTTTTCTCTGCTCGACTTGAATGGCCCCCAAGAGCTTCGGATTGCCTTATCCGACTCAGGTGCTGCATCGTCATTGTCAGCGGACGTTGTGGCACACTTACATCAGTTCCACGCAATATCCATTGCATAACGTTGGATAATACCCTAGGAATTTCACCATCGCACAGCGGACACTACTCTCTCGTCTGGCTGCCGTGTTGCCTTGCGAGTGCACCACTTCATGCCACCCCCTCGGCGCGCAAGACGGAACGGCAAAACGATTTGGGACCAGTCACCGGGACAGACGCAGACATCATGTCTTGATCGTTATTCTAAATATGGCCAAGTAATTATCAGTTAACTAAATAAAAAGCTAGTGTTCTTACCAACCGTTCCAGACCAGTTTATCTCCTAGTCGGGCTGCAACAACCTAAGATTCTACACAGCCTATCTGCATTTTCTTTTGGTTCTAGCTTCTTGCTTCAATAACTAAGTTTCTACAGGTTAGCATCTTCTCCCAACTGCTAACTCTACATTTTGCTGGAGCTTCAGTTTCTGGTTATGTGCAGTTTATTCCTGCAACTCGAAGCACTTATTTTGTTTTTCTTGCCTAACACCCTGTAGAATAAGACAGCCTCGCATACGCTTGAGTTGAAGGGATATTGAAATATTCATTCCAAGTTTATAGTTGGCAACAGATATTTGCTTATGAAATCTTCCCAGAGGTGATGATTCAGTTATGCATCTGACACAGATGTCGCCAGTCCGAGAAACTAGCCAACAAAATGGGCCTAAGTGCCCTTGAACAGTGGAGATGTGGTCGGAAGGTGCAATGGCAATGCATTAAAAATGTGAATAGAAAGAGGCAATAGCTGGGGCACAATTCTGTCTAGTGCTCAGACTCAAGCTGCTGGTTTGTGCTCTGTGGTGCCAAAATAGTGGCCATAGTTGATATTTTATTTTGCCTAGTCTGGCACAAGATGACCTCCGCAGTGTTTGCACTGTAAAACCTGCAAACAACTACAATGCTGTCTGCTCCCGTTGAACATTCTACAGCAATGGCTGGATGAGTGATGATGAGGACGATACAAACTTATTGCTTTTTTTAAAATTTTTGCCCTCTTAATGTGTTTTTAGACAAGTACTCATCTAAATATGCCTCACAAAATACTCCATGCTTTTTGGTCCTTCTTGCTGTCATTGAACGAACTGATTACAGAAAGTCGGAAATTCTCTTTAGTGTCCCGTAAGGGATTTCATGCGTCTTGTCTTTTGCTGAGCCTCAAAGGATCAAATTAACACAAGATTCTATTGTGGTTGAAAAAGAATCACTGTCCAAGGTAAACTTTAAATTCTAAATGGATAAAACATCTCTGTATGTTTGAGGTCATTCACAATGTTTGGAATATTCCATGTTACAGAACAGAAATTGAGTAGCTGTGGGAACACTAAAGAGTGGTGCAGATCTGGAACGCATGTGGTGAATTTTAAGGGCATGGTACGTAGTACTTTTAGACGAGGACGAAGAAGAGACAAGACACGCAAGAGTGCTCGTGTGTGTCTTGTCTCTTCTTCGTCCTCGTCTAAAAGCGCTACCATGCCCTCGACATCCCAATACCAACTAGCCCAGCATTCAGCATTGATGTGAATTTGAAACATGAAAAGTTCAATTAATTGTGGTGATTTCTGACCAATGAAAAACACACCCAGGTAGTGCTACACAGGCCCTTTTGGTATCGGCATAGTTCAGGGCGTGGAGTGGTAAGAACATGTTCAGGACTTAAAAAGGAAACGTCACATGTGACAATCAGTTCAAACAGCAGCATAGCACAATAATAGAAATACCAAAACGGGCGATTCTAAACAATGTTACTATGCAGCATAGTTTTGTTTATACAGCATAAACAGCAAAAATAAAAGCAGTAGATCATGCAACAATAAAACTTTTCAAGAATTCTTTTATCTTCGCAGGGAGGGGCAAAGAAAAAATGTTTTATGATCTTTAAAAAGTTAATTTTTGCAAATGGTGCAAGTTTTTATGCAAGTAATATGAGGTTGATCCCTTAGTATCGAAAAATAAATATATATTTCTCCAATCAATTTTAAATATTTAAGAGACAAATCAGATTTAAAATTCCTTGTTTTACACAACCCTATTTTTTTTTAATCTTTTTAGTACTTGTTTTCTAGCAGTATGCATTTTGTGCACAAATTTGGAGGGTGCAAGTTGCATTTTGTGGTGCCAGTTGCATCTTATGCAATTTGTACCCTCCCACATTTTGTGTAAATTAAGGAGGGTGAAAGTACTTGGCTTTCAATCCAGTTTTAGATTATTGCTGCAGAAAATTAATTCCTACTGGTATTTCAAATGATGTTAATATACCTATTTTTCTTGTATTTGTTCTCTAACGCACAGTACAGCCTCACCTCTGACAAGCAGGTAAATATCCGGAGTGTAATAAATCAGAAACATAGTCAGGGTGAACAAAAGCAGTAAAGAAATTCTGCACTACAAGTTGGATTTATTGTGCTGTTGTGTGGTGAGGAGGACGGTGTGCAAAGAGACTGGGCAAAGTTTGGAGACGCTCGCAGACGATCAACGCTTCCTCCGCCTCGCAGCTTGTACTGCAAACGCGGCCCATGAACCACGTCACCCTGATCGTGCACTTTGAAACACTGCTCCAATCCGTTGTGCCTTGCTCCCAAAGTCGCGGTGCAGGAGTTGTCGAGGCACTCGAAACTGCGGTGCTGCGGTCGTGTCTAGCTTGATTCTCCATCACATTTTGTGTTACCACCGTCCGCCATCTTTGCCGCAGTACGGGGGAAAGCGTCAGTCTTTTGTTGATCCGATGTGCTACATGTCACTAAGGACTGTAACCTTTTTTATGGTATAATTTTAACTGCACCTTCACATTTGATGTTTTTTATGTTAATGTTGCAGGCACTGATGTGAGTACAGCTTGCTTTTTGTTTTTCACTTCTCATGCAGTTTTATACTTGAAAGCCAATGCTACGGTAGAATTTAATCAGTAAACTTGCGTGTTAAGGTTGGGGTGGAGACTTGCCCAGGGCTATATCCAGAAAACTTTGTCAAGGGGGGGGGGGGGGGGGGGGGGGGGGGGAGGGAGGAGGAGGAGGAGGAGGAGGAGGAGGAGGAGGAGGAGGAGGAGGAGGAGGAGGAGGAGGGGGAGGGAGGGAGGGAGGGAGGGAGGGAGGGAGGGAGGGAGGGAGGGAGGGAGGGAGGGAGGGAAGGAAGGAAGGAAGGGAGGGAGAAAGGGAGGGGAGCGGGGGTTCCGGGCACGCGGTAACAATTTTGCCATGAAAAAGAAACTTGTGCGTTGCAAGACCCCGAGGCAGTGATGCTGGATCCTGTTCCCTCGGCTGAGGTGCATTGACCTTGATTGAGCTCCTGAACTGTCGCTTTTGTGTGCACTGTGAATTATATCCCTCTCCCACTCACAGCACACTTTGGCATAAAAAGGTCTTCTCTCCCTTTCTTTCAGTTATTTCTAAAATGTGGATTAGGGAGGTAGCTGGGAGATAGACGTAGGCCTGTGATGCAGTTTTCAACTAATCAAGAGCCTAATCATTCCTCGAAAAGAATGAAGCAGTCCCTTTCTCACTTCTTCTTTAGAGGGAATGTTTTATTTTGGGGGTGCAAGTTTCTGCAGGGTGAGCGAATTGGGGAGAGTAGGGTCGCACAGTGTGGAAAGGAGGGGTTATGAAATGTTTCGCACTGCTCGCGGAGGTCAGAACCCCTAAACTTCTCCCCCCCTCAATGTTTACCGCCCTGGACTTGCCATTAGTATCTCTGTGTCCCTTTCTTGTCTTCGTCTTTTGCGCTGAATTTGCTGTCATGGGTTACCAACTAGGAAGGAAGGGAGTAGTGTAGGAAGGAGGATAGTGGTGAAGGGCAAAGTCGAGAGAGGCGACACGGGGCAGAAGCTAATGCACGCGTGGATGCTGGGGCAAGTCTGAACTTGCGGGTGTGCAGAGTGCATACGCCTTAGTTTTTGCTACAAAATGGAGTGTGAACCAATTACTAGCACTGGTCAAAGTAGGCGGAAAAGGAAGATTGACGGATTGTGAACGAACGAGATGGGCTGGCGAAACTGGTGAACAGCGAAAGCAGCGTCACGCAGCGAATGCTGCTGCTGAGCATGCAAGGCGGGCGATTGAGAACCTCCAAGGCTGGAAAAAATTACGAGGAAGATTCGTTGGTGGATCGTTTTGGAATGCGTTAGCATGGGGACCCGTGGGTAACGCCACACAAGTCATCCTTTGGAAAATGCTAACACTGACCCTTTAACGAAGCCGAAAAGAGGCAGCAAAAAATAAAGGAAGCAGAAGAGAAAGCAAAAACAGAAAAGTGAAGGGGTCAGCATTAGCGTTTCCCAAAGGGGAACATGTGTGACATTTCTCAAGGGTCATGCTAACACAGTTCCTAAGGATCCACCAATGGATCTTCTTTTAATTTATTTTTTAAACACTCTTATTTGTGCAGGTATTATTGTATGGACGTCACCGGGTTCGCTGACATACATGCAACATAAGAAAACAAGTGCACGCATTGCCCAGATGAAGTGTTGGAAAATTAATCTTGGAGTCGTGGAGTGACACATACCTGCGTGCTCATTGTCATGAGGATAACAAAAGCAACACAACTACACGCCGTGAAAGCGCCGCACATTCTGAAGTTTGGCCCCAGATAATTTGTTAGTGCACAAACTCCTGTCTAGGTGGCGCTACGAGTCTATGTTGCTGTTGATTCGCGGTTTGATTCGTACGGGTGTCAACAACGTGCTAAAGGGCAGGAGCCAGAACCTCGGAAAGTAGCTGGAGGAGAGAGTACTAAAAGCTTAAAGACGTACAGAAACGAAATCCAGCGCTCATTTTTTAGCTTTAATATGTTGCATGTTGCAGCATAACCTCAAAAATACCAGTCTTCCTTTGAAAGGCACAAGAAACCTCATTTTAAAGCTAAATAAACAATCTTTTAATGTGCACCTGGTGGATGCATTTGGAGCCCATTTGGGATGTAATCTAGCAATGTTGGGGAACTTGCTATGTAGTCATGACGTAGCAAGTTCTATCAAAGCAGCGCCGCTCTTTGGAATTAAAGATTTTCCTTCTTAGCTTTCCTCCCCAACTCACAAATCGCGCATTGTACCAAACAGTTCAAAAAGACGGAAAGGAGGGACTTCTCTCTTGCGGACCCTTGTTTTGTGTACCCGGACACAACCATTCTTCTCCCAGAAGACAAGCCTGTCATTTAAAACTCGACAAAGGTTGCTTTCTCCACCCCATCCACCCCTAAGCTGACAGTGCTGTGGAAGCTACGTGCTCCTTGGGCCAACCACACGCTCGTCACCCGACGGGTACTTTGAACGGCTCGCTTGTAACGCGTTGACGCTATGGATGCCACCACAACGTTTACAACGCCACCAACGGCAAAGCTCATAACCACGCCATCCTTGTTACGTCACGAATGCAGAGAATCTTTTTTTTTTTTTTTTTTTCTGTTTTTGTTTGCACCGTATATTCCATGACACCATCGCATTCTCCGTTCTCTTCGCTTCGAGCTTTTGCCCGGGTGCACTGTTTAGAACGAAAAATATAGCGAGTCATTCAAACTGCAAACGTGCGATTATCATGTACGGTTATTATCCGTCACAAATCGTGTTCATTTCTGAACGAAATATGAATATTTTAATTTTAATTTCCGTATCCCGAATTTAGTATTCTTATGCACCATCCTAGAGATTTGGGGACAAACAAAGGAAACCGTGCAGAGGGTGGCTGAAGCTAACAGATTAATTAAGCGGATGAGCCGACAACTGAAGTATGCCATTCTAAATGTTAACAGAGAGGTGTATGCCTCTGGCTTTCACACTTTTGTGGAGGATGGGATTTATTACAATGGAACAACTGGCGAGATGGTTGGAGAGGGAATTGTTAGCCAGGCAACAGCTTGAGGGACCCAGAGTGCTGAGGGTGCCTGTGTAGATGAATCAGGAGAGGCATCTCGATGCAAATTGCATAGAAAAAGAGGGTACATAAACACGCAGGGAGGCCGAAACAGGTTGAAATGGGAAGAGATTGAAGAGCAACAAAAGCAGGAAGATTTAATGATTTGTTGGCAAGTATTCTTCACGTGTTGTTATGCATTTGCAAAATGCAGAACCCCAGATGTGTTGTAGCATCTGTGCTCTCTGCTAAGATAAACTCTAAGCAAAACTGCTCCAGGGACTGCCCTGATGAGTGTGCTGGATTCAACGCAGAACTCTTGGATATTTGCAAGCACATTTGACCTTTTGCACATTTAACAAAGAGCTGACGAAGACTGAAAATACTCTAATTTCAACCTCTAATATAAATTAAAGTTTATTAACAATATCTTCTATTTCCTCCTAAGGTGCAGAACTTCTGGCAATGTAAAATATTGGGAGCCACAAAAATAGAAACTTTTGCATGCAAGAAAAAACACTGAATACATTTTCATGTTTCGCTGGCAAGATATACTAGGGGTTGAAAGCTGCTTGCTGGTTTTTACAAAAATAATCTCTGTAAATATCAGACTCTAGACATATGTATCTTAAAGCTTGTAGCTGGCTTGTAAACAGAGCTATGTTTGGAGATTGGTGTTTTCCATAGCTCTGTTTCTCCAGGGTTAAAAGCGTCAGTTGTAAACAAGCTTTTCCAGCTTCTGATCGTCATGTTCTCGGTTGTGCGTACAGTTACAGCGAGCTCCTGGGAGACCATGGTTCCTACCTTCTGCGGGTGACATCCAAGGGAGAGTGCCACAGGGAGACTCTCGAGGAACCTGCAAACATCTATAATCGTGAGTTTGCACTTTGTTTCCTCTAAAGTTCTAAACTATGAAATCCAACCTTAGCTCCTTTGAGGCAGATGTTCCTCTATCGGACGTCTCGTGTGACTGTTCATGATGCAAGTGAAATTTCTCAATTGATGGGTGTAGTAAAGCGAAAGCGAAGCAGCTGCAGAAAGACAATGCAGAATATAATTACGAACGGTCCTCTTCCAGCTAGGAACCGTGCTTGTAAAATTGTGTGATCATAATCTTTTTTAATACAAATAGAATATGAGTAATGCACAGAATTTTGAACAAAGGAGCCGGAGGAAACTAGACATGCATGACCTTGGTGCCACCCAGGAGAGTGGAAGGAAAGGAAACTAGGCACGCAAGTGCTTAGAACGACAACAAAGAGGGCAGTGAGAGCGTAGACATGGCCAACGCAGATCGCAAAGCAGCAAATTTTTGAGATACCTTTACTATCTACCTGACAGTCTGCTGATCTTGAAAATGGTGCCTATTGATAACTAATTTACTGAAAATGCATATCCAAGTAATGGGACGTATATGCTTTTGCATAAAATGAAGTGATTTTGCATTAAATTTGGGACCCGAGTTTTTGTTGACGCAGATGAAAAATACGCGGAACCCTAGCCATAAACAGCTTTGCTGTAAAAGTTATTTCTAATACAGAATCCAATATTAAATACAGTTGCTAAACGATTGCTTGGACTTGACACGGATCACTCGAAAGTCAGAAAATTAGGCAGTCCGAGAAACCGATTTTATATAAAATACCAAACTCTCACACATCTTCCGCAGGGCCACTATTCATATGCCCCAGTTGCTCTTAAATTGGCATAGAGCACTCAATTATTTTGTTTATTTATTTAGAAGATACTGCAGCTCGCATATGTCAGCCAATACAGGTGTGTTTGCATAGGAACGTTACTTTTTTTAACACGCCATTTGATACTCACAAGCGCAGTCACAACAACAAAGCCGTCAAGCGACAGAACAGTCACAAATTTATCTCATGGGGAGTTTCATTCATTAATTTCCCTAATGTAAAAAAGAATACTTAAAAGCATCATGCTTACTGTAAAATACCGGTAGTGCACCCTCTTCCTTCGCTCAAGTGCCCCCTATTAACATTTTTCAAACTTGGGAATTTCGCGAAGTGTACGTTAGGGGCCCTGCAACAACTTTTTGACTGATTTTTAATTTGCACCGATCCTGAGCATACTAAACTTAGTAACTTAATGAAACTTTTCTCAAATTTCGCTTTATTTTAAAAGTTATAGGCAAATTAGAATTACAAAAACAAGCAAAAACTCCCTTCCTTCGTGACATCGTAGGTCCTGGCTTGATTGGCCGTGAACTAGAGGAGGGATAGTGAGCTCATCGAGCGCTCACTGCTGCCGCACTCCGTGTCTACGGCTCGAGAGGGTGCCACTAAAACAAGTGTTGGATAGGCTGTATGAAGGGGGCGGTCAGGGCGGCTCACATTGCATTTGCTGCACGATTAAATACTAATTCGGCGTGACACTTCATTGGCCACTAGCAACAGCAAACACGGGGTAAATATCAGTTCAGAACAAAAGCTTCTTCGCACTGCCATACCGTCAAATGGCAAAATCGCCAGCCAAGCCCGCGCTGAAAGCCCTCGGAACCGGTCGGATCCTCGAGCCGGTATACAACCGCAGCACTGCCACATACATTTGGGACCTTTCTACGCATGCCGTTCGTTGGTGCCTCATCCCACTAGCTCTTTCTAGTATGCGCCGCTTTTTCCGCCGCTTGGTGGTAGGTATTTTGACGGGTCATGTCTTGTTTTCGTACTTTATAAACTGCGTGTGTTTGTTTTCTGATCGGAGATACTGAACAAAAACTACTTTCATACATAATTGAAGCGGTTCGCGACACTTTTATTTTGTACCTCGACTAAAAAAAAGGATTTTAGCGGTTTTGACCAGTAGTAAGCCCAGGACCAAAGACGTCGCATATCGCGCGCTTTCGGCAACGCAAGTCGCCCTCGTAGGTGGAGGAAGTTTCCGCGTCGTGCGGTTAAAATATGACGCCTTGGTATTTAGTCACTCTCTCAGTGCCCGCTGGCTTGCCCGAACCCCAGGAGACCCGGAAACCACAAAAAAGGTAGAGGCTTAAATATGATTGTAGGGCCCCTTTAAGGGGGGACACTACCCAGAAAAAGCAATTTCTGCAAAAAAACATTCATTTTGAAAAATGTCATATTTACATCCACCAACATCTAGAGGGTATTTCCAGAAAGTTTCATTAGTTTACACTGCATAATTAATTTTTTATAGATTATTTTCGGTCCACCAACGCTAAAGAAAAGGCAGAGGTTAGAGCACTTTGAACGCATTTTTCTCCATTCCACTTTCTGGCATAAATGTCACTTTAGGAAAACTATTGTTTTGTTATTACATAACTTGGATATATTTTTATGAGTTTTTCTGGGGTGAAATTTTAAGGGGAAGATAACTATGAGCTTGTATTTTTTATTTTTGTAATTTCATGCTCAAAAACCAAAATGTTTTGACAAAGGATGGAAATCTAAAACACTGTATTTGTGTTTATGTGGCTCTATTGTCATGAAAGATGGTATAACATAGAAATATAGCTCCATAGTTATCTGCTCTGAACTGTCCTAATACAATATAACACATGAAAACGACAAATTTATAAGTAATTTTAAAACAATAGTTTTCCTACGCAGGCACGCCCACTTTCATCTTTGAAGGCTTGCAGGTTTTTTTGTACGTCACCCAGGTTAACAAAATTTGGCAGAAATGTTCTCAACATCAACAAAAACAAGCCCTGCAAATATAATTTAAATCAGACAAGTGGTTCAAAAATTTACTTTTTTGGGTAGTGTCCCCCCTTAAGTGTCCAATTTGATTGGACAAGCACCCATGTCTAGATTTATCCAGTTTTCAGTGAAAGTGGGGTTAGGCACTCCCCCAGTATTTTGCAGTAAGTTTGTATTGTTTTATTACTTTTGCGTGATTTAGCATAGAAGAACCAGTTGTTGAAAATTCAATACACCTTTCACTGTTAACATAAAATTTTATTAAGAAGAAAATATGCGTGCTTGGGTCTATTTATCTTTACCTTGTCTCCAATGGCTGCATATTAGTTTCTAGAGCTAACCCCATGCAGAAGAGTTGCATGGTCACCCAGGGCATTCATTTCTGTGATTTCCTCTCACCTAAATCATCCTTGTAAAGTTGAACTTATTTTCTTCAGAACTAATGCCTACAAATACTCACCCCTACCATTATGCATTTCTGATTGGAACAGTCTGTCCTCGAGCTTGGTGGCAACAAATGGCCACATCTTTTTTGTGCAGGAGTTTGTTAAGTTGTTTGAATGATGTCTGTATAATGATGCTATTTTCTTTTTGTTCTAATTTCATTTTTTTTAATTATAAAAAAAAGTTAACTTGATGTACTCTTTAAAATTAAAAAAATGAGACGTTTACAAGTCCCTGTAATGGTGAATTAGAGTGCAGCTCTTGAGAAGGGGAGGGTATGGAGGGGATGGTATGCCCCTCCTCCTCATCCATACCCTCTTCTCCTTCCTCATCTACTCCCCCCGTGCTCCTTGCCTCCTCTTCCTTGTCCTCCTCTCTGCCTCCTCCCCTCCTCCTCCCTCTTCCTCCTCCCTCCTTCCACGCATTGCATTAATTATGGGAAACGTCCCATAATGCAACATGCGCATCACCGCGTTGCATTATGGGACGTTTTCCATAATGCACCGCGCGATTACGGCGACGCCGAAGCCGGAAATGGGCAGCTTAAGAGCTGCACTCTAAAATGAAGGACGTTTACAAATCTCTGTAATGCAAAATTAGAGCGCAGCTCTTGAAGAGGAGGAGAGGAGGGTATACTCTTCCTCCGTACCCTCCTTTCCTCCTCCTCCTCCTCTTCTCCTCCTTCATACCCTCCCCTCCTCCCACAGTTTGCCCACTAAATTTAGCTGGAAAATTGACGCCACGTGACCTAAACACCAATTCGGTTTCTCCACTAAATTTTGCGGGAAAAATGATGTCACATGACTTCGTGTCACTTCACCCACGAACAAATTTAGTTTCTCCACTAGATTTAGTTGGAAAATTAATGTCACATGACCTCAACACCAATTCAATTTTTTGATAAATTTTGTGGAACGGTCACGATAACGGCGACGCCGCGAAATGCGGAAACGGGCACCTAAGAGCTGCGCTCTAAAAATATATTGAATGTAAATTCCACAACAAGTTTTTGCACACTTTTCAGTTTGTTGATTCCTACTGTGCTAGGAAATACTGGTTCACTGTTACAAAGTAATTGGTTCATTTTTTATAATTTCATGATTTTCTCCTTCCTGCAGCTTTAATCACAGCCGGTGCCATCTTCCTGGTTGTGGTCTTAGTATGGCAGATTGCAAGGTGTTGCAGAAGGTAATTTTTTTTATTTTTAGAGAGTAGCAGCAAGCCTTGTTGGGACTATCCAACAGTTCGAATATTTATCATAACTTATACAAAGCTCCTTGGCTATGGTTGCTTCATGCAGGGAGCTTTTGAGCAAAAATAGATTAAGAGAGGGTGCAGTCTAGCTTACAATGTTCTCTTATTTTAGTGCTAAATTTGTCAGGCCTATGTGACGAGTCGGGACAAGCCTCCAGCTATGGGGAACGACAGCATGGTTCTGCGAGCTTCTGTGGCAGCCATCTTAAATAAGAGGAGTGTTTTGGGTTTTCGATCGACAAATTTCAATCAAACTCGGGGTAATGTGCTTGGCAACACTACCAAATGGACAATCGCTTCTAGAGCGACCGTCAGTTTGTTTTCTGCCAGCACTCCACATTTGCGCTTCACTGTGTGAAGTGTAAATGTGGAGTGGTCAATCCTTTCACGCCAGTGCCGCTAAGCTCACTGCCGTTACCAACTGCAGCCAAATAAGCCAAAATGGTCATTTCTAAAATGACACGATGCAACGTTCCCGAAGAGTTTTTACTTCTATGTTACGCTCGGTCCCAGTCGAATTCTGTGTTAAAGGCCGACACATGGCCATGTCCTTCTCCAGGGTAGAGTCCTCTTGCCTTTTTACACTCCCAAATAGTAAAGTAGGGAAGTGGGTTCGAAAAGCGAGGCTATCGCTCTGCACACTGTCTGGTCGGAGGGAAAGGCATTGTCGATACCAGCTGAAAGACGAGGACTGCGCATCATCGTTTGTAGATCCTCGACTTGCCCCAAGCGGCAAACCCGTTGAAGCTCGACAGGGGTATGCCACAAAGCAAAAGATGCACGCATCTGGTGTCCCCGCATGTGAGCATCACGCTTGTGAGATGCTGCAAGATGTTCTGGCAGCGACGTTGACCGAGCGAGACGGCGTTGTGTAGATCCTCTAGTGATGACGTTTAAATAAAGAAGTGGGGGAGGGGGAAGGCACAAGCCTTGTCTTCTGGGTGGTATTGGTATCGCCTACTTGTGGAGAGGTGGTGAGGGCGAGTCTGGGAGAGGAGGAAGGGTAAAAAGCATTACACCTATGTTGGTTTTTAACACTGACGGTTTTGGCCATCTGGCAGTTCATACCTGCATATATGTCCTGCTCATATCCCATTTGAATGTCACGTTAGAAGGAGCCATCCCTTTGTTGTTGCAGGGTGAGGGCGGCGATGGGGGCAAGAAACTCCTCTTTCGAGTCACAGGTGAGAAATCCCAAATCGGGCTGTTAAGGTGTCGAGTGGTTAAGGTTATGGTGTCAAGTGGCTACAGCGTACCAGTGAGCCCCCACAAGGCGGGGGCTCACTGGTACGCCGCAGCCACTCCACATCAAAACGGACGTTGAGGTGAAATTCCACGGAATAAATTGCTAGCGCAAACACCAAAATGCGCTTTGTGAACAGTTCAAAAGAGCAACTCTGGCTGCTGTTGACGCCTGTCAGACTTGCCTGCGAGGATACCGCAGGTTACAATCGAGACCGAAATAAAGGCGCTTTAGACCACTGCTTGCCTATGTTTGTCTATATGATATACCATTTAATTTATATCGGTTATCATTACCTAAAAAATTAGCCTCAAAATTTGGAAAGAAAGTGCGTCCCTTACATGCGTTTATACTATACATGAAGTTGCATTGTCAAGGACTTGGACATGCTTGGACTTCAGATCTGAGTAGCACTGAAAACCCCTCGAAGTTCTAGCCAACTAGCCAAATATGATGCTTTGTGCTTAAGAACCTCAATTTAGTGCTTTCTTATTTTTGGCTATTTCATCTGCATGGGACAAAATATTTTTAAACTACAACAGTCATTCTAGAGTTATTATCAAGTAATTTCAAATATGGCACAGATTCGGAAGAATAATCTTTGTCGTGTCATGGTATGAACTAAGTATTCCCGGAAGCATTGTTATTTTAAGATCATCATGAATTTATTATGGTCTGTCGGTTTTAGCATGCGAGTTTTGTCGTTTACAACTTTTAGGAACCTTGATTCTGGCTTGCAGGAGAACGTCCTGGATCTGCGCTTATTTGTTATTTTAAGATCATGATGGATTTATTATGGTCTGTCAGTTTTAGCATGCGAGTTTTGTCGTTTACAACTTTTAGGAACCTTGATTCTGGCTTGCAGGAGAACGTCCTTGGATCTGCGCTCTCCATTAGTGGCAATGCCGCCGAGATGGAAAAGCCACCTCTGACCCCAGCAAAGAAGAGGCTCCGTGCCCTGGATGCCTTCAGAGGGTCAGTGTCCGAGTCTGGGCCGCTTTCTGCAGTGTGTGGGCTCAACTAACCCTGGGACAGGCTTTTATTCCTAAACTTGAAGTATAACTGAGGCTCCTCCCTGCCATTCTTAGCTTGGCGGTGATTATTGAAAGCATGCAACAATACAGTTGTGCTATGATGTGGCACAACTGTATTTCATGTAGACGTAGCATTTCACGTAGACATTCTGCGGAGTCACCAACCTTAGTTTCTAATCAATGTCAGCTTACCCGAGCATAATGTCATATGAAACCTTCAAGACCACGGTTGGCGCTAACTTTTTTTTTTTTTTTACGGAAGACCCGGAAATTGAGAACACGGATCCCCTCCATATGTTGCCGAAAGGCGCCGCAATCTTCTCAATCCCAGCAGATCTCCTTGATCCGTCTGCGGGCGAAGAGCACTTGGATAGTAAGAGGAGCGAAAAATACTTCTCACATAGATTAGATTGATTACTGGCACCGGTGAATGTCATCCCATAGTGATTTTCGAGCCATTGAACATGCACACACTTCGTAGAGGCACCTTCCTGTGCATATAAACGAGAAAACGTGCTGGCTTATTGCTGCTTGCAACTGCGGGACACACGATTGAACCCAAACTTCGAGTAACTTTTTCGGGTTGAATGGCGTGAAAACACGTACAGAGCAACACTGGACATAGGTATGTTTAAAGTGTCATGATGTCAAACCTTAACTCTGGGGCGAGATCGAGAAACGCAGCCAAGACGCTGCGGGTGCATTAGAAGAGGTAGGAGCGGGCAGCGCTTCACTATGCAACAACGGGGACCGTCACTGGTGGCACTGCTAACCAGCTGCCAAGGCAGAGTGTCGCACCCCCTATAGGTGTCGCACGCTCCTAATAGTAAATGCATTTTCCAGAGAACGGAGCTCTTAACTTTTTGGGTGCGTGCTATGCTGCCGATTTGAAACGTGTCCGATTATTTGGCTCAGTCGTACGTAAATCAAAAGGGCAAAAAGTGTCTATTTATATTTTAAATTTATAATACCCACAGGCCCCTATTTCAGATGTGTCAACTTTGACAAGCTGTTCTTTGTCTTTGTGTTTTAGGTTGTCTCTAGTGGTGATGGTGTTCGTGAATTACGGTGGAGGGAAATACTGGTTCTTCCACCATTCCCCATGGAATGGCCTGACAGTAGCAGATCTTGTATTTCCATGGTGAGTAACTTTTTGAACTTGAGGTTCTCCTCATATTAGGATTTTATTGTCGCACTGTGAGATGATGTTATGAATGCATTGAAACTGCCCCATTACGACAGTGTTGCTTTGTGCAGCTGCGACCATTGCAGGGTTCCATTGCAAGGTCTTCATACACCACGGCATTATTGTATTTAGCTTTTGGGACACTTTCACTGCTAATTTATAACATAATGTGTAATTGAAGATTCAAGGACAGAAAGGCCACTTATATATGAGGCCTATGGTTTGTCACCAGTGATGGAGTAAGTGGCAAAAAGGATCGCTGATAAGCATAGGTATGCACAGCAGGGGGGCGAAGCATGCTATGGCCTGACGACTCCAGAGGGCGCAAATTCAGTAAGGTTATATTTTTGTTGTGTTGCGCAACAAAAATGAAACCTTGCTGATTCTGCACCTCTCCGGAGTGATTAGGGGGTGCCAGAGCATGCTTGGCCTCCGTGCTGTATACGCCTATGCTCATAAGCTAAAGGATTTGCTAGTTTTATGTTAAAATGGATACTAAACAGTGACCAGAAAATGCCCTTGATATTTTTATTTGACTTTTCTGGGTGCTCCTAAACAGCTCGCGGGCCCATAGAAGGGTGCACCATTTGTCAGATAACATATCGCATTGATGCAGAATGTTTGTTGAAAAAACAATACAGTCACTGTAAATAAAAAAATTGACACAAAATAGCCGAAAAAAAAAAAAAAAAAAGCTTCACTGGTAGCATTTGCAAAGTGTGCTTAAAAATGTTCACTCTCGGTGTAAAAGAAAATTGCACACACAGTAGTCGATAAACAGTACTCGCAGGTACATACAGCCGGGTACAAACAATTGAGACACGAAAGTTGAGGGAAGAAACATTCACTATGTCTGTCTGCATAACAGTTCTGGCTAAAAAGAAAAAAAAAAAAAATTGGTTTGGAAAGTCTTAGCAGAAATCGAATGGTAATATTTTCTTGCAAAAATATATCTAGCTCGGGCTTGTTCATCACAGCCGAAGTATTGAATGCATACTGAATAAGTGCCACTGGTCTTATGCTTTTTGACTCTGCGCAACTGAATACATGATGTTAGCAAAGAGTCCTTTTAGGTAACGCAATGGAAATAGAGGAGGTTAGCTTTGAGCAATTTAATGAAACTGTGGAGACATTTGTGCAAAAAAGGAGAAATCTTGTGCCTTCCTTTCGGAGAGTTAATGAAAGTTTAACAGTTTCAATAATTGCTCATGACTGAAATAAATCTTCCCATTAAAATAATGATTGTAAAGCAGTCGAACAAACTTCTTTTGTATCTTTTCCATTTTAATGTTGTCTTATTCAACGAATTTCATGCCACGCTAGAGGAATCTAATTTAGACAAGATGAGCGATTGATAAAAGTGTAACAAGCAAGAATAACTTTTAAACTGACGGGTCATGCTGGTGATCGCACCCAATCTGTGGTGACGTATATTGCTCAAGTATGTCACGTGCTCTGAAAATTTTAATTCACTATCTAAGAAAACGGCCAGATCTCATACAACTGAAACATGCTCAATCAAACATTTGTTCAAAGCATATGCAAAAGTGGTTTGGAAATTTTTCCTTGATGTTTTTTGGTTTTAGACGGGTTGAGAAGAGAGTTGTTATTTTTGCACCATTCTGCCAGTGCGTTAATGTCTTGCTGCAGTTTGTCACAGGCAGATAAATCCATAATAGTTTCAAAAAGTTTAACACCATCCGCAAATTGTAATATTTCTGGGTGACTAATACATGCACTAATATATTCACAAATATGTTGAAAAGCAAAGACTATAAGCAACCACCCTGCGAGATGTTAGACCATATGTACTAACATAATTCCATCTTTCGCACAGATAACTTTCAAACCAGTTGCAAAGTGGTGAGGAGAGACCGTAGGTTGCAAGTTTTTTTAACAAGGAGAGAGTGGTTGACCAGGTCAAAAGCTTTTTTTTAATTAAAGTAAATTTTGTCGACCTGTTGCTTGAACCCTAGCTTGAAACCGATAAATTCCGTAAACATTGTTAAATTTGTTTCGACAAAACGATTAGGCAAAAGTCCATTTTGTTGTAGGCTTTTTCACCGAGAGAAACACTGCATGAGATGACAACGCATGGCCTTTTCGAATACCAGAGCGAATGAACAAATTAGTGAAATTGGACGATAATTATTGATGTTTTTTTTGGTGAACCAGCTTTGAAGATGGGAACAACGAGTGAAGACTTCCATAAAGTCAAAAACAAACTGTCTTTCAAAGACCGATTGAAAATCAAGGTCGAAATTGGAGATAACAAGTTGCCGCACCCTTTAAGTATAACAAAAGGAATACCATCAACTCCAGCCGATTTTCTTTTTTAATGGTAACACCGGAATGTGCTGGATGTAAAATATTTTGAAAATTATTATATTGGAAGGATTCATATGGTGCTAATAGTGATTATAGGAAGTGTTTTCTTTTGACCTTACAAATTTGTTTTAAAAAAGCCACAGGAGTTACACTAATGCAGTCTGTCCAGGTGAGTTATACAGCTAGAGGGATGTACCTAATTTAGGGGGATAATCGTCGCAATAAGTTGGTCAATTAACTAGAATATATTAATAAACATTTTAGTTAATGGAAATGAACATATCAGAAAGTTACCGAGCATCGTCGAAAACCAGGGAATCACTCAATTTTAGAAAGACTTGGAGCACTTGGGAAGCACAGTGAGGCGCTAAAGTTCCCACTCAAGCAGCAGGTTAGAAAACGTGGAATGATGAGACGAAAAAATTGTGCGTACACGTTACTGCACCGGTAGCTTTGCTCCTGCTGCATAAATATCGTATTCCCATTTTTTTCTTTCAAGCGCAATGAAGTATGATGCATGAATGGTAACTTTAACACTCCACTGTGCTTCCCATGTGCTCCAAGCTTTTTTTAAAAAATGGCGGATTTGGTGATTTTTGGTTACACTGAGTAAGTATTTTCATTGGAACCATGTGTTTATTCTTACTGATTAAAACGTTAATTAACATACTTATTGTGGCGATTAGACCCTTATGTAATGTCCCCTTGGCCATGTAACTCACCTGCGCAAACTGCATTAGTGTAGCTTTCACGGCTTTTTAAAGACAAATCTGTAAATCCTCGAAGAAACACCCTGTAGTATATGCACAACTACATGATGATCATTTTGAAAATACGGTAAATAACTTACTTTGTGCGTGCTCTACATTTAGCGAATTCGGCAAAGTGTGGTTTTCGGGAATATATCGCGGGCACGAAATTTTGCAAATGGGTGGTACGATATATATTTATTATTGGGAAACATATTTGCGGGATCTATTTTTTGCTAAAAGCATTCAAGTCGCTAAATTTGTGAAAATTTGGACCTCGGGAAAGTTATAGAGTGTAGACCGCATATAACGTATGTTGCGGGAGTCGCGAAAATCCGCACTATATGCGGTACCCGCGTTATAACCAAAACATCAATTTTTCAGGCCAAAATACATGCCATGAGACAACTTACCTTTGTAAAAGAATTTATTTTATGTTAGATGAAAAAGAAAGCTTAGTTTGAGGAAAGTCTTTATTTCACCAGACTAGTACAGTTCTGTCTCAAGTGTGTCACACATTTTGAAAGAAATTAGCGGCTTTTGCCTGGCGCAGCCTTTTAACGGCGTCGCGGGTTGCAGACGGACGTTGCGAGCGTTCAAGATTGCTAACCCTAATCACTTTTCTCCGGAGATGAAAACGCGTGAAAATTCGCATCCTTCATACGGTACGCGCCAGAAATACCTTGAACTTGAGCACATGCATGAAATGCGCCAAATAAGAAATCCGGGCGATGTACTGTAGTCGAAGTAAACAAACACGACGACACGGGCGTTTCTGCCGTCTTGAGAGCGCCGCCACGACATCGCCGCACGAGTGGGTGAATCTTCCCTTCTAGTACGTGCTGGGTTATCATAGCGACACACAACGAAAATTCACAGTCAAGGATAGCGCTTTTACGCAGAACGATGAGATGAACTCCGTCTATGACGACGATCACAACCGACGCCATGTTTGTGGATAGAAGCAGCCGGCCCGCGACCAGCATGCAACACGCGCGAACACTTCTCCTCGATCTGCGATTGGTCTGTCGGTGCGGTTGTTTGTTTCCAACGCAGCGGAGGGACGCACGCACGTGAACGACATGTGCGTGCGTCCCTCTGTCGCTACGGCGACCGAAGCCTCTCTCTTCGCTTCTCCCCACTTCTTCGAGCAACATCCTCGCCCCGCGCCGTCAGCGCCGTTATCTAGTGTCGCACAGGGAAGCGTGCCCGCTGCTTCGGTCGTCGGCGCGGTCGGCGGGCTGTGCCAAAAACCGCACTATAGCCGGTATTTCCCTTCGCGCGCCTGCATTTTAAGCGGTATGTAATACATGGAGTTCTATGGGAGGCGAACCGGTGGTTTAAAAAAACCGCGTTATACCCGGTCCTGCACTATAAGCGGTTACGTTGTAAGTGGTCTATACTGTATTGTTAACAGCGGTAGCTCTGACCCATTGGCGTGTCGCGAGACCCCTTTTGGATTGGTGGAGATGATGAAGGACCCTGTTTGTGGTGAGAGCCCCATATGTTGGGCACCCTGTCATTAGGTCATGTGACATAACCTAGATGCATGACTGCATCGGGGATGGATTGTACCATTTGCCATAGGCAACATTAAGACAATGCAAAGTATGATAAATCAAATATAGCTGACACACAACTGGGTTAAAGGCACAAACAACCTGTAGTATACGAAAACAAATTCACGAACATCCTTATGATGAAGTAGACTTCTCACATTGAAATACACACGAGAAAGCTCACCCGAAAATTGGAGCGTTTCTTCTATATTTGAAAATAGACAACTTTTATTGCTGGGCTTGACTGATGTGGCAGGGCTTCGCGGGACCCCTAGAATGCGTTTGCGGACCGCCAAAAGTCCGCGGACTCCCATTCGAGAACCACTGGTTTACAGTGTGTCTCGTGGCATGCCACTCCTGTAAAACCCCCCCCCCCCCCCCCCCCCCCCCCACAAAAAAAAAAAAAAAATGGGAGGCCAGCCATCCCAGCTAACAATGTCTGCTTCTCTCCTTGTGTCCTCGTTGTTTTGGCGCCTCACTTCAAGCATGTACAACCAACTAGCCCAACTCGCCGTTCTAAAACAATTTTTTGCCCCAAAATATGCACAAGACAAGTGGTACTCAAAATCATTAACCTATAGGACGGTAAATGCCATGCAGCATTTTGAGATACTTGCAAATGTGAAAGCTACCATTGGAAGAAATATTGAGTAGCACTGTTCTAGAGTTATGTCCAATGACTAAATTTGGTCATGCTAGCTTTTAGCTACTTTACTCCCAGAGTGATTCATTCTTGTTGTACATACAAAATTTAAAATGAACTGTCTGGGCCCATCTGACTTACCTGCTCAAAAATGTGTATTTAAGGCCTAGGTTGATCTGGGTTTCCTATACCCTAGGATGGCACAGGTATAAGAGCTATGCACGAAATGAATCAGAAGCAATGTATAATAGTTTGCCATAGGGATGTCCGTGAATTTGTTTTCGTACATTACAGGTTGTTTGTGCCTTTAGCCCAGTTGTGTGTCGACTATATTTGATTTATCATACTTTGCATTGTCTTAATGTTGCCTATGGTAAATGGTACAATCCATCCAAAGCAGTCATGCATCTAGGTTATGTCACATGACCTAATGACAGGGTGCCCAACATAAGGGGCTCTGTCTCTATGTGGTTTATTCAGTCAGACGGTTTCTGGGATATGCTCTGACAAATGGAGCAAAACATGATTTCAGATTACTGTAAATGATTTTATTCTCGTGGGCTCAATATTTTGCAAAGTGCAAGATTCAAGAATATTTCGTGGACATAAAATTTTGCAACCTAGAGTGGTATGCTATGTATTCATTACCATGGAGTGAAATCTCCTTGCAATCACCTTTTAAAATATTTTTTTGTTGTGATATTTGCGATAATCAAGTTGTTTACAGTATGTGCTGAAAGAGTCTGATCTGTTTTTTTGTGCAATGAAAAGTTAGAGCAGCAGCAGAGGCCTTACCAGCCAAATGTTTTGGAAAGAGTTTCTTCTTGAAGGATAGAACACTTGTTCCCAAAACATTTGTTTAAAGCCTCTGCTGCTGTTGTAACTTCTCTTTATGTTTATGACTTTTTTGGTGATAACAAATGTTTATTGGGACATTCTCGTTTTCTGCATTAGGTTCATCTGGATCATGGGAGTGTCTATGGCCATGTCAGTTAGGTCGCTGCTCCGCAAGTCCGTCTCAAAGCGCCGCATCATGTGGAAGATATTGAAGCGCTCTGCCATTCTCTTCTTCCTCGGTATTGTGCTCAACACTGCTCATCACAACAGTGAGTACAGTACTAGAATGCATTCCCATGGGCACATCGTACGACATATCGTAAAGTTGCGAAAGAACGCCCTCCCAAAACGAAGAGATAAATGGGGAAAAACATAGGGTGGGCTATCTTTGGGGATGCCACAGCAAAACTTTATCAAAAATTAATGATAAGCACCCTGGCACCAGCTACAAACCACGTGACGAGGGAACTCATACCGCAGATCGTGGACACCGCAAATTCCTCTTTCACTATGCGATAAACACGCGGGACTTCACTACAAACTCCTGTGTCACGGAGGTTGCAGACGCAGCAGATTCGCGTTTCACAGTGCGAAGGACCCGCGGAAACCTGCCGAGAACTTGCATCTCACGGGAACGAATAGCGCAAATCGCGAACGCAGCAGATTCAAGTTTTACGGTGCGATAAACACGCGGAAACCCACTACAAACTTGCCTGTGACGGGAATCCGCTACAAACTCGGATGTTACGGGAACAAATACCGCAGATCGTGAACGCAGCAGAATCGCATTGCACGATGCAACATACATGCAGGACCAACACGCATGGAATTGAGATCACGTGCGCAGATTGCGGATGAAAACGCGGGAATCTGCCACAAACTTTATGTCACGGGAACGAATACTGCAGATTCTGGACACAGCAGATTCACATTTCACGGTGTAATGTACACGTGGGAACAACTTGCGTGTTATGAGAGCCGATATCGCGTGCACAGATCGCAGCCAAAAACGTGGGAACCCGCTATGAACTCGCTTGTCAGATGTGCCGGTAGAGCAAATCACGTGGTTGTTGCTATTCCTGTCGGTCAGCGCGTGATGGAATGGGGGGGGGGGGGGGGGCAGCGCGATGTTGTTTTGTAATTTTTCTGTTGCAGATATTTAGCCAGAAAAATGGGATGGGTGATCTCTCGGGGACGGGCATATCTCGGAACTTTACGGTGTGGTGACTCTTGAAAGTCATCCTTTAATAGCATACGTCGTTGAGGGCCAGGTTTGGTTCATTTTTCAAATACCTAGTAACAGTTTAAGATTTAAAAATATGCCAGCAATTAAGGTTTACTGTGAGAAACTTACCGTAAAAAACTGCAAAAGCACCCACTTAGTTTAAGTGCTCACTCTTAACATTTTCCACACTTGGAAATTCTGCAAATTATACTTTAAGCGCTTGATTTGACCGGGGCGCTCCCCCGGTATTTTAGGGCAATCTTCTCGAATTTTGTGAATTTCAAAGTTTTTGCAAGATCTAAATTACAGGAATATATTTCCCTGCAAGGGTCCTCAAACTGGGTTCCGCTCTCTGGTCTTATGGGTCCTGCGAGCACCCATGAGACCCTGTCTGCAACACCCTGTCTGCTTTGGGCAAATCTGTCGTATCATGGCCCACCTCAGTACTCTCGGAGCTCATTTGGCTCATTACTTCCCAGTGGTGTGCAATGTTCAGTGGCTTGTCCCACCTTTTCATGTGGACATCACTGCTTTCAACAGGGAGATTGTCAAGCTCGAGAATGAGTTTCTCGAGCTCAGGGCAAGCACTTCCCTCAAAGAAAAGTTTGGCACTAATGTTGTTACATTATGGATGAAAATTGCATTACAGTTCCCCTGCCTTTTTGATAGGGCGGTGGACACGCTGCTTCCTTTCGCTAGCACATGTGCTTGTAAGTGGGCATTTTCCCCCCTGGCCTATCTGAAGCACAAACACAGAAATTGGTTTGACCCAGCAGCTGATCAGAGGCTGGCCCTAAGTGTGACTGAGCCACAGATTGAGTTGCTGTTGTGGGCAAAGCAACCTTACCCTTTGCACTAATATGCATATATATTTTGCATTGCGCACTGGGTTAAACCCTCCGCCTTCTTATTCTGCCTGTAGTCCTCCATTCTGCCTTATTCTGTCAGTGCAATAAACTCTTGTTCACTATCTAAACGCCTTTATTGCCCTATATGCCGGTCAGCAACAAGGGGGGGAGGGGAGGGGGGGTTGTTCCTTGGGTCTTTTTGAGGCTTGCTAGGGTTCCCTGGGATGAAAAAGTTTGAGAACCCCCGCCCTATTGTAACGAATATAGAGCATATCACCCTCAGTTGTGAAATTTTGTGCCTGCGAAATACTCCCAAAATCCACCCTTGGCAAAATTCAGCAAATACTGAGCCTATGGAAATGAAGTTGTTTACAGTATTTGATATTTTTTTTATTGTACCATCATCACATAGTGTTGATGCCTTGGCATTATTTCAAATCCTATATCCTTTATCAAACTCTGCACAAAAACAAGAAACAAGAGTTCTGGGAAAGCTATTTTTGTGAGATGTAGTCAAAATTCCAGATCTCAACCATTGGTTTTGCACATTGTATCGTTAAAAAAAAAGCAAAGTCTGTCATTGCATTATGAGTCACAATAGCTCTTTTTATAAAGACTAGAGATGTGCGAGTATCAAATTCACTATAATATTTTACGTGTAATGTGAATTGAGCATGGATACTTGGAGAATTCACCACTGAAAATCCTTTCTAGAAAGCATACCTTTCAGAAGGATTAGTTTTATTACATGAAAAATGTTTCACATACTTGCGTCAAAAAAAAAAAAAAGCCCTGATAAGATGATTTACATGAAACTTAATCGAACATGACAAGCAAAGTAATAACTGTTGTATTTATTCAATTATAGCTTGAGGTTTTTGTTTGTTTGTTTTTTCTCTTCCACCGGTGTTGTTTAAAATTGGTGACCGAACTGCAATTATAGTCAAAGAAGGCTGATCTACACTGGCAAGCAGAATTTCCGAGACGATCAAACAAACCGAAATTTTAGATACATCGACCCTTTCTCCCAGCACTCCGGTGCAAAGTAGTGAATCTTGATGCATGCATGCACCATGCATATGCACCAGTGCAATGCTGCAAGCTAGTCACCAGCGCTCTGGTGTGAAGCAGTGAAACTTGGCGCTAGGAGCCAAAGAATTGGATCCAGGTCCTCGCCGAACGCTGACACAACGCTAATTTTCTATACGAGTTGAGCCGAGCTTACACCCAACGCTGACTTGGCTCTCGTGCCTAATCCAAGGGCAGGGTATGTACCCAAACGATGGCAGATTCGGGTAATTAGCGTGGCAGCTACTAGATGTTGCTCACTTTTGATAAGGGTCTATTGCCCACACCTCCATTGTGGTTTGCAGTAAAAGTAGTCGGTGCTGTACTTGCCCTGTTCTTGCCTTTAGCAGAACCACCTTGGCAATTCTGGAATGCAAAAAAAAATTGGCTGTTTCTGGCATTACCCAAAGGCGCTCTTATGCATAGCATTTATAGGGCCGCTTAGTGCTCTTCCTTTTCGGGGGTAGTAATTAGGCCTTTGAAGGGCACATTGCCAGGGTTTTGTGAATATATGAAGCCGTCCCATGACAACATGGTGTCCCGTGATGTAGTGTCACATGACGTCATGATCTCGCATGATGTTGTGCCATGGTGTCGGCCAACATCATTCTGTGGCAGTCCATGTGTTTGAGACCCATAGGTTAGACCACCGAACTCTATTTCGATGGCCTTCACATTGTTTACGAACATTCGCCAGCTGGATAGATGTACTGTTCAAAGAGGTGGGACTAGACGCGACGTCTGAGGCAGTCAACTCTGGCTTGACAGTGGTTAATCTTGTGGAAAGTTGATCCACTTATGCATTCATAATCTTTTGTTCCCTTTCTAGAGCACTGATTTTGACCGTCATGCTACTTTGAGATGCCTCAATCCGTTGAACAACGGCTATAATTCTGGCTATCTGCTCGCCATCGATGAGGGGACTAGGGTTCGATTCAGTGTCACCCGATATTTCCAAAAGTAGTTGAGAGAGAGATGCAATGTAGTAAAAATCAATACTATGGCAGCACAGCCACCTCAAGCAAGAGTGCACTTTGTCGTTGTGGCACAACACAGTAAACAAGCAGGGATTGCTACTGCAAAGGCACCGAACATTGGTGAAGTAACGAACCTGTATTAACAGACAGATAGGCATCGTTGCGTGAACGGTGGCGACGTGCCCCAACTGGCTCGTCGATAGATGGTGCCTTAGTAGATACCCTTCGAGGTTTGTTCCAGGTTACCAGATCAAGTAGGCAGATGCGTCTAGTTCCAGCAGAGGTGAGGTATCGGCATGGTGCCGAGTAATTCTCCAGGAAGCCGGTCTCATGCTCGTAGTTGCTGACGACGAACAGGTTTGCCCCGGTGGTTGATGTGCCCACCAGTTCCAGGAGCTCAGCTACTGTATGAACAGACGGGTAGGCGTCATTGCGTGAACGGCAGTGATGACTGGGTGGGGACTATAGTCTGGAAGATATGATAAATATGTTTACATATGAAATTTCGTTTGTAGTGGATGCCAAGTCACCTGCCTTTTCACTTTAGCTTTCAAGTTTTTTTGGGGGAAGGGGAGGGAGGGAGGGAGGGGGAGAGAGAGAGAGAGAGAGAGAGAGAGAGAGAGAGGAGGAGGAGGAGGAGGAGGAGGAGGAGGAGGAGGAGGAGGAGGAGGAGGAGGAGGAGGAGGAGGAGGGGGGGGGTTGCCTTTGTGGTATACTTGCAAAGACTGGCAGGCAGCAATGACGCAAACTCCACATGGGACACATTGTCACAGCTTGCAACCTGCACGGAATTATAATTAAAGATAGAGCGTTCCATCTAGAGAAACCTGTCTTGGCCTTCTCATTCGCGATTTAACAGTCTACAGCTCCCAAAAAAGCGACATCATTCTCCTTTGCTCAATTTGCTAAATAATGCTTGCACTTCGTTCCTTTCAAACTAGCTCAGTTCAAGCCTTTGTCCTTCGGGCCTGTGCTTTTACTTAATGAATGATAAATGGAACCTGGGCTGAGATGATTGTAGTGGTGGTTTTCGTGGAGGAAGTGTGTATAACTATGTATTGATTGTCAGAATGTTGCTTAGTTAGGTTACGCATAGTAATTTAGAGGAGGAGCTTATCTTTCCTGTTTCTTGCTCATTTGTGTAGATGACCTGACAAAGCTGAGGATCCCAGGGGTGCTCCAGAGGTTCGGGATATCGTACCTTGTGGCTTGTTCATTGCACCTTCTCTTTGCGAGGCCCCAAGACAAAATGGTGGTAAGCACTTTGATCATTAAATTGGTGGGAATCCAGGTGTCTGACTGGTTAAAGGGAAGGTGAAGAGGTCTTTGAATTTAAAAGAAAAACTGAAAGTTTTAATGTAGGCACCAGGAACGTTCTCAAGTTTTCTTTCAATCTTACTAGTAGGAGTGTCGTAATCGAGAATTAAACTTTCTATGTATCCCCACCCCATTGCGGCGCATTGCATACAGCAGAGCATGAGACCGGAAAGAAGAACTAGCAAAAGTGACATTATCGACGGGGTCGGAATGACCTTTGCTTGCTACTAAGCTGGCCCGGGTATGCTGACAATGACGTCAACGTTTCGGACGAATAACAGGTGACAAAACGGCTCGCCACACGCTCTGCAGCAATCGCTGCACACGTTTTTAAAAATAAATGCAGTTTACGTTTACTTCTGCCTTAGTTAAGTGCGACAACAGAACTTTACAGGACAAAAAGCTATAGAAGTCCGCTCCTAACTCTGATTTCTTGAAGAAGTACTTCAGCTTCTGTTTTAAGAAAGCAAATGAACTTGTGTCCTTTCCTGTTTAGGCGTGCTTCAATTAGTGCTTCATCATGGCTCTGCCCCCTTTCTGCATTCAGGAACCTGCTAAATTATTTTCTAGGTTCAAGCTCCTCATTTCTAAACCATTTTTGTGCATCGCCATATTTGCAAGATTTAACACGTTCACTGCGTCGTGGGTCACCGGTGGGTCATGTCACATAAAACAACTGTGCGGCATCGGATATCCTATCCTCCAGCCTTGTGCGGGAGTTGAACTTTTACAGATATTAAATGCCAAAGAAAAAAGCTTATGTACTTGGATACATTACCCATGACGAACATCGGTGCTAGTTAGAGTTAACGTGACCCACCGGTGACCCACGACGCATCCTAAGAAAACAACCCAAGGATGTCCGAATCACGGGTGACCCACGCTGGGAATAAATAGAAGCCCATGAACATTATTGAATCTCTAGCAGTCATTCTAGAGACCATAATATCGGCACGTTGTTTCCGATAACTTTAAATTTTAGAGTAATTTTAGTTCTTTTTTTTAAGTGCTTTGAAGGTGCTTTCAGTAAAATTTGTCTAAAGTGGATGTTAGTGGTATTTAGGCATTAACTGCACTAACATGTATATTTTCTAGCACAAAAATACAGTGTAGACCGCATATAACGTATGTCTCGGGAGTCGCGAAAATCCGCACTATAAGCGGTACCGCACTATAACCAAAACATCAATTTTTCAGGCCAAAATACATGCCATGAGACAACTTACCTTCCCTTCGCGCGCCTGCATTTTAAGCGGTATGTAATTACATGGAGTTCTATGGGAGGTGAACCAGTGGTTTAAAAAAACTGCGTTATACCCGGTCCTGCACTATAAGCGGTTACGTTGTAAGTGGTCTATACTGTAATATGAAAGCCTTCGTATTTTGAAGAATACATCATAGCCTCTGTCTGTGTTTGTATGGTTGGCACCCAGTGCGAGGTGGCACCGGTAGGTCGCGTGAAAAGGCCCCGAAATAGCTGGGTAAGTATCAAAAAGCCCGCGCAAAGCATGATTTCCGAGGCTCCACACGTCGTCCCTTAGAATAACGAGGAAGTAGTCATAGCGGATAAACCACCGGAGGGTCAAGACGCATATGGATCGAGACTCCAAAACAGCTAACGCAGGGGACATGTTAAACCTTTCCATTCCAACAAAAAACCTGACTGGTTCACAAGAGTACTTTGTTTGCACTTTTTAGAATGCTGCCAGTGCCATACTTTCCTTGTCAGATACTTGTTTCAAGCACTAATTGAAATATCCTGCAGCTTAAAATGACGAATGAGTTCCGGATGGACTAGACACCGTGCGTTGCTGGAAGTGCTATTCACACATGGTAACTCCTGGTACAAGAAGAAAGTTTCAAGTTTACTGAAACTTGCAATCTTTAGAGGGAGGAAGTTTTAGCAGATTGTTTCTACAAATCCAAGATGGCTGTGAGGCTGTCTATACTGCTTTTGCAGTACCTCTACCGTGACTGCAGAATCTGTGTACTGAAATTTTCACCCAGAGCCTCAAATGGTACGCTTCAAGAACTACTTACATATTTTGCGTACCGTACAAGTTGGATTCAATGTTTTCAGAGTTTTTTTTTTTTTTTAAATTCAAAGATACTTTTTTGGGGTTTAATTTCCTAGAGATTCGGTGTTTGTCAGTGTCTCGATGCTGAACAAACAATAAGTGTTTATTGGGGAGTGTGTCGAAGATAGCAGAAGGCAGTCCTGGGATTCTCTAATGTCCGGGGAGATGCATACGACCCGGTTACCGGAACAACGTCCCTGGCAAGAGAGGAAATGGGACAAAAGGTGTGGTTCTCGAAGAAAGCATTCGGTATGCTTCAATGCGGCTGTGTTTTGGGTCAACAGAGATGGAAGCTGTAAAGATCTCTTTTCATGAGCTCTGGATGTTTCTTATTCAATGAAAGCTCCAGTTCTGGGTTTTTTGGTTTTCCTTAATTCAGAGAAAACAAGCTCGGGCTTTACTTTTCGGTCTTCGTCGCCATATAGCGAAAATGTGGAATGTTTTACAGAAGATTATGTAGGCATTTTCAATGTCTCTGGTCGGGAGGTACTTCCACCCCAAACCTCTGGGCAGGATGATAGAAGGCACAATCACACTGAGCTCTATAGAGTGTTTCAAATATGCACATACGTCTCGAGTCAGAACACTTTAGATAAGTAGCTCGAATATCCACGTTTCTATTTTACCAAAAGCTCTTTCCAAAGTGGAGCTTGTGCATGTGCCTTTTCCAGTTTTGAATAAGCTAGGAGAAGGTGCATCAACCTTGCAGGTGTCTGCAAAGAGCTGAACAACTCGAGAGAAATGTACAACATGGCCTGTCAGCTGATTATGTCAAAAGGTACATTTTGAAAAACTGTTGTGATCATACACGTCCCTCACGGTCGAGTCAAGCCGCGCGAGAAGTCACCTTCCCATTTGCTGACCCTCTTTGTAGGTCATCGTAGTTTTGTAAGTCGCCATGTGCATGAGCTGGGGCTGCTTGCCTTGCCCAGGGCTCAGGATGGACGACGAAGGTTCGAGACATCCTGCTCTACTGGCCCGAGTGGCTAGTCATGCTGGCTCTGCTGGCTGTCCACCTGGCCCTGACATTCTTCTTCAACGTGCCCGACTGTGGAAGGTTGGAACTCGCTTTATTCTTTATTAGTATTTAAAAATTTTGAGACTTCAACATGAAGTTTGTGCAGGAAAGTGCTAACTGGTACTAGTCAGGCCTTCTAACTATTGTTTGTTCCACTTTATGTGTGAGCGAACTCAAAGCCAAACACAAGCATATTTCCCTGAACCATGTTTGCACTGCACAAACACACGTCCTTAACAGGGACACTGAGAGTTCGGAGCTTCCTTTTGTAGCCTCTGCTACGTAAAATGAAACAAAGTGTAGCAGACTGGTGTGGCTCATGTAAAAACTTGCAGGATGCCACATTGTCACTTATTCTCTGGTGTGCCTCTTGTTCAAGGGCACATTTATTGCTAAAATTTGGGGGGGGGAGGGGGGGGGGCAATAGTAATTTTATTTTTGTATTTTTCAATTGCATGGGCTAGTAATTTTTAGGGTATCTAGAAAAGAGACTACTAATTGTGTTTTAATGTCTGTTACAGTCTAAAAATTCCCACAGTTTTATTACTTCCGTGTTCTATATTATAAACCCTCACTTGCTGCTTCGGTGGTTCAAAAATTTGCACTATAAGTAGTAAAAAAAAAGAAAAAAGAAATGAGAGAGAACATATATGTGTATGGTTCTATGTTCTATATCTAAACAGTGACTGTCCCCATTTAAGCAACACAGGCAATTGAGCCACGCAGCATGATAGAGCTTTAGCAGACACTCGATCAAATAGGATACATCAATTTAGACAAAAAACACCACGAAGACTGGAGAAGAAAGGATTTGTTAGCAAGACAAATTTAAGAAGGCTGAATAATATGGAGGCTTTCTGAATCCTTGACGAACGTGATCAACATGCCTTGTTATTTTAGTTGTTATTTTATTGACTCACTGTCAAAAATGCACAGTTCTTGAGAATGGTGTGATGCGACGTGATTTGAACATTTAGTTAAAGTAATTAAACTCTAATAGGGAAACAGTGGGTGAGATTCCTCAGCGACTTTACTCTCAATGACTTGGTGTTTTACAAAATACAGCCAAACAAAAATAGCTGTTTAATTCTTTGTTCTTGTACTTGATGCCTGAAACCAATGGAAAACAAGAATGCGAGCTCAAATCCCAGACGTTGCGCTCGACCCCTTCCGATTTCTAAAAAAAAATTCACGGCCTTTTGCCGCAATGTCCGTAGCCGTGCCCTGGAATAGTTTTGGCAAAAAAAATTTTTGATGACGTGAGCGCGGTTTTAACTTTTAAAAACAGCGTGAAACTAGGCATCACTCAATAATTGATGAAAAATCAGCTTTTTAGTGAAACACCCAACAATATTTTTTCTTAAATTTGTATGGCTTTCGACTTACAATGTGGTTGGCCTTGTGAAGTTTTGTTTAATTTAAATATTTTTTTAAAAAACTAATACTTTTTGAAAATTTTATAATTTTTGGTATTTTATCAAAAAAAAATCTAATTGCACCTGGGACTTAATAGAACTTTTTACCGGCTGCCCTGCAGGTTTATAATCGATAAAAATGTTTAAAACTGCTCAATTAAATATTTCGCAGTAAACAAAAATCCTGAAGTTGCAAAAAAGTGTGTTTCGTCGCATAAACAGCCGTTTATTTCACCCTGAGGTGGTCCAAGTAAAAATACAAAATATGGTGGGTTTGGAAGAACAATCGATAATCTTTTGATTCTGAAAGTTTAATCAAAGTGATTTTTGATTAAAGAGAGAAAAAATGTTTTGAAGTTGAACTCTCACACCACAACCCGGTGTCGCTTCTTAACGCCCCTTCGCCGCACAGCACGCCACCTGCGACAATAGCTGACACGATTAGGTCCAAAGAAAGAATGAAGGTTTCTGCCGCTCGACATCACGTGTTCCCCGTGAGGCCACAAGGACCCGCTTGAGGTCGTGAGGGTCCCGTGACATCACGGTTACGCCGATGGCGACGCCGATGCCGCTTGGAGGGAGGAGTAGCAGGCAGGATAAGGAGGTGAGGAGGAGGGAGGAGGGGTATACGCTCCCCTCAGTACCCTTCCCTCCTCCTCCTTAAGAGCTGCGCTCTAATTCAATGTTACAGGGAGTTGTAAACAACTTTCACTTTTTTATTGAAATACCAAAGACGCTGCCAAGGAAAAACAGTTGGCTGAATCCTCTCTCCTGCTTCGGCTGCACAAATCTAGTTTGTTGACCAAATAATCACCACTCAACCAAGAAATCCTTTCAGAATCTTTTTATCCCACTTAGGCACATTGAAAGGGGGGCTCTCCCCCCCCCCCCCCCCCCCTTTCTAAATTTGGCCCTGCTCTCGTTGCACATCAAGAAATGCAGCTTTTGTGTTTGGCACATGGGGGCTCTGCTGTATTATGACGCCTAACAGTTTGCACCTCCATAGTGGTCAAACCAAGTTCTGTGGCCTCCTATTGGTGGCGGACAATGCCGGGCTTGTGGAGCACTCTCCAGAAGATAAATCTAATGGCTCGCAGGTAAAAGGGCATACACCACAGGAAAGTGGGAGGATATAGACCGCAGGAAGGTGGTTTCTAGATGAAAGTACTTTTGCATATAATCTCATTGAGTGAAAACAGAAGACGAAGGTCACGGAGGCTTTTTAGAAAAAACCTGAAAAAACCTCCTGTAAAGCCTTACTTGGAGAGCCTGAGTGCATGAAAATATCTTGCACCGTTTATTGGACACCATTGCACTGCTTGCTTCCTAGGTCATTCTCAAATTTTGTGATATGGCCTATTTCAACCTGATCACTACTCACTGAAATATCCGGGTGCACAAATATTGAAATTTTTTTAATAAGAATAGAATATGAGTATGGTACAAAACTGACTTCGAATTGAAATATGTGTGCAGTAATAAGAAATGGCGACAACCCTTGTCTTTTTTTGACAAGGGCTGCTTCCTTTGTGTAACAACATCCTTGTGTCAATTGACTTTAGGATGGCCTGTTTGCACTGTCATTTGTACATTCTTCCATCAACCAAGGGTGTTTGTTAGGTGGTTTTGAAGTGTTGTAGACATTCGAAGAACACGTTCGCATGATTTGCACTGAGCTGTCAACGGAGAGGATCTTGTGTGGTACTGCCAGATGCCAGGGAAGACTTTCTCCAGCATTGTTCCTTTCTTACTCAGTGGCAAACCAACTGCGGCTGAGGTCATACAGTGTAGACCGCATATAACGTATGTCGCGGGAGTCGCGAAAATCCGCACTATAAGCGGTACCGCGCTATAACCAAAACATAAATTTTTCAGGCCAAAATACAGGGTGTCACAAAAGAAAATTTACACGGCATTTTTCACCGCAAAAATAAACTAGGCATCGCCGAACGCTCATTTTCCGCCCAAAGGTAGAGCTAGAGGTGACAACCAGATGCCTAAGTTTCAGCCCGATCCGATAACTTAATCAAAAGTTATAAGTGATTTTCTGAAAATTTCAATGGGAAAATGGAGCCCATTTTTGCCCGTTTTCGGTTTTAGTGCCATAGAGCCCCATGTGTTTGAAAAGTCCGTCGGCCGCCATTTTCCCATTGAAATTTTCAGGAAATCACTTATAATTTTTGAATAAGGTATCGTATCGGGCTGAAACTTTGGCGTCTGGTTGTGACCTTTAGCTCTACCTTTGGGCAGAGAATGAGCGTTCGGCGATGCCTAGTTTATTTTTGCAGTTAAAAAGACCATGTAAATTTTCTTTTGTGACGCCCTGTACGGGTAGCGGACATTTCATCGAACGCCGTTTCATTGAACGCCGTTTCATTGAACGCCGTTTCATCGAACGCCGTTTCATTGAACGCCGTTTCATTGAACGCCGTTTCATCGAACGCCGTTTCATCGAACGCCGTTTCATCGAACGCCGTTTCATCGAACGCCATCGAACGCCGTTTCATCGAACGCCGTTTCATCGAACGCCGTTTCATCGAATGAATGGACATTTCATCGAACGCCATTGCATCGAACGCCGTTTCATCGAATCGCTAAGGGCCGTTTCATTGAATTTCTTTGTACCGAGTTTTGGGGCATAACAGTGCTTTATAGATGTTTTACCTTGCATTTGTTAAGACTAAGGTAGTCAGTTGTGAAACTGTTTTGAAGGTGGGGTCAAATTACTAGAAATGAAAACAATTGGTATGAAAAGAAATGAAAACAAATAGGTATGCGACTCACTGAAAAGCTTTACTCATGTACTAGTTGCAATGGTCGAAAGAGAACATTATGTGAAAAAATTTGATTGAAAACTCCGAGACTGGGACGAGAAGGGACGAACTGCCAATGTAGACAATGTTGAAAAAAAAAAGAAAAAAGAAAAAAGATTTTGTTTTATTGTTTAAATAAGGTCACTGCTTCTCAGTTCTATTGCTAAGGTTGCTTTGTTGTACGGCTTGCGGCATGTGATTCCCCATTTCTCTCTCTCCCTCTCTCTTGTGTTTTGTGTAGGATTTGATAAGCCCTTTTGTTGTCGAATAAATTTCAGCTGTGTTTGAGACTGTGTTTGTTCGGCCCTTGTCCCAGTCGGGGGGTTTTCAGTGAAACATTTGACACCCACCAGCTCGTTTGCGCCCTAACCGTTTGTTCACTAATGTAAAAAAAATTTTTTAGGACCATGTTGATAAAAATAAGCGTTGACAGGAAACAATAACCCGAAAAAGATTTACTGTTTATTATTATTTATTTATTTTTTTTTACATCTGATGCCTTGAGGTCTGATACCGTCCATTTTCGTTTTTAACTTCGACACATTTAATAACATGTTTGGCATTAAAATATATCACTGGGAGTGGAAAATATTTGAGCTTAAGTGCTGCGGGCGCATAAACAGTACAGGATAATAAACATGTTAACAGAGCCTCGGTTCGTTGTGTGCGTGTCAATAAACTTCCTCTACCACTCCGCCCCGCCCCACCTCGCTCGCCCCCCCCCCCCCCCTCCCCTCCCATGCCCCGCGTGTCCCGCATTTCGCTAGCAGGAAGGTGGTCACCCTAGCGGCGGGCGATTGTTTTTAAGGATTTAGCAACATCGATGACACACTCTACATCGCCAACTACAACATCAACGACCTTTACTACTGCAACATCAGCAACAAACGCATTTCTAAAGTTGGGAAGAGCCTATAACAGCTATCGCTGTAAAATAACGTCCAGTTTAATTCTTGAAAGTTCTTGAGGAAAATTATGTTTTTAGCTCCTTGCAATTAGCTGTTAGTAAAATTCAAACTCATTATTGTTTTTGTGGTTCCTTTAACTTTATACAACTGCAGTCCTTTGTTTTTGCTAAAGACCAGGCATTTGTGGGCCTGAAAGGATTTCTTTTGCTTGTCTGGTTGCTTAGGGGCTACTTAGGGCCAGGAGGTCTGCACCTCAACGGCAGCCACTTCAACTGCACCGGAGGAGCCGCGGGATATATTGACCGCACGCTGCTCGGCGGCAGCCATATCTACCAGGCCGCTACGCCACGGGTGAGTGGAGCAAGTCCTGCATTGTGCACGGAGAGCTGTACGGAAGAATGGGTTGATTGAACTGCCAAGACCTTGTTTAGACATCTTCAATTGCTTTTTATAGATTGAGCGCCCTTGCAAGAGTGTTTGGTAGCCAAATACTCTTGAACTTTAGATTTGGAAAGCTTATTTCTCTTTTTGATTGATATGTGACATGTCCAGTGTTTACAGCCAAGGTTTTTCTTGATAAAGCGTCTTACGACCTGTAACTGTGAATGATTCTTTTTGCTTGTGACTGTGTGAAAATAGACGCTGTGGATTTGCAGATGACTATCTGAAGGTTTGCATATAATTAGGCTTGTACGAATATTCAATATTTTCAAATATTCCATCGAATAATATATTATTCAAAATTTGCTTCGGTCTGAATCTTCGTATACGAAAATTTTGAAGTATTCAGCCCAAGCGAATAGCGAGTCTTGCTGCAGTCGTTTTCGAAGGTTTCGGTTTCATTTAGGAAGTAGTAGCGCCAACAACACCAGCTACTTTTAAAGCCGCATTGACAGACAGGCCTCACGGCCTGGCCAAGTCGATCCAAGCCAATAACCAGATCGACTGGCGACATAGAACAGTTGTGACTGGTCTCAGACTAACACAACTGACGTACCTATGACCGGCAACCTGATCTGGAACCATGTTATAAAAATTCTGCCAGGTACTGTAGCCCCAAGTCTTAAGTGCGAGGCGATTCTGAAGACCCCGACAGGGACTACAACAACGCTGGCCATGCACCTGAAGCGACACCCAGACTCGCACAAGGCCTACCTGGACAACTGTCGTGCACATGGATGCGCAACAAACTTCAAGCGGGCAAGCAAGCCGAGCGCTCATCCCTCGTTTGCCAATAGCTTTAAGTTGAGAATGAAAGCTTCGGCACCTAAAGCACAACAAATGACGAAGATGATCAATCATTTCATTGCACGTGGCATGCACTCATACAACGTGGTTGAAGAGGCTGGTTTCTTTGACCTGATGAACTGCACCATGCCAGATTACGTTGTGCAGTCACAAATAACGTTCTCGAGGGGTGTCACTCCAGAGCTTTACGAGTCGGAAAAAAAGGAGGCAAAGAAGGAGCTTGGGGAGATCTTTGCCAGCGGAGTAAAGTGCCTCTCTCTCACAACGGAGAGTTGGACCTCGCATGATGGTTATGTGTGCATAACCTACCACGTGTTGGACACGACATTTGTGCAACACGTGTGTGCATTGGCGTGCACTGCAATGCCAGACTCGCATGCTGCCGAGAACCTGGCACTCTTCATCGCAAGTGTCATCGAGGAGTGGAAGCTGCCATCTTGGAACGTGCTGATCTACGTCATCACGGGCATTGGAAGAAACTTCACATCAGCGGTTGTGCGGTCAGCCTGGATTGGCGTGCAGTACTTTGGGCACATGCTTCAGCTCTGCAGTAGTAATGCTAAAAGAAAAGTGGCTAGATTTTTTCGGCTGTGCACGAAGGCCAGAGCAATTGTCGGCTGTTAGAAGAAAAGCACGAAGGCCCAAGGACAGCTTTTTGAGATCCAAAGGAACATGCATATGGATCCTCTCGAAGTTGTACAAGGTGTCCCAACGGGGTGGAACAGTGAGCATGCAATGATGGCGAGGCTTGTGGAGCTTCGTGTGCCCATTGCTGTAAAACTTTCATATTGTGATACCATTGAAGGCCTTAGCACTAGTGAGTGGAAGCTTGTGACTACAGCTGTGAAGGTCCTGCGTCCTCTTGAGCAGGCCATGACCAAACTACCGAATCTTCCGGACTATAGTCCGCACTTGGTGTATAGTCAGCAGAGACAAATTTGGGTTCGAAAACAAAAATTTTGGCTTGGATAGTCCGCACGCGGCGCATGGTCCGCACTTAGTGCCTAATCCGAACATAAAAAATGATCATACACAGTACACCTTGATAAATCCCTGCTGTATTAGCTCGCATAGAAGCTTGTATCATACATAAATTACTATTAATATACTCTGTTAGCCATAAAATCCTTCGCGTCTTGTCACACTGAACGCTCGGAAAAATACAAAACCTTGTATACTCCGGACCTGTCGATAGTTCGCACCGGGCAAACATCTATAGTCCGGAAAATATGGTATCTGGAAACTGCTATCTAACACTGTTGCAAGTAGTAATTCCCCTGCTGCAATTTACCGCAGTTGTTTTTGCACAACATTCAGGGGAGGCAGCATAAATTTCCTCGAGCCTTTTAAGAAGTATGAACACTCGATTTTTGGACCTCAAAATGTGCCACCTCCCAGCCCTGGCAATGCTGGTTGTTCCAAGATACAAAGATGCTTGCTACATCCAGAAACCTGAGAAGATGTGGGCTGTGAATCTACTCGCAAAGGCAGCAGAGGACACAATGACACATGATGAATGTGATGAAAATGACGAAGCAGTAGGCAGCGCCAGTCAGTGCTTGAAAGGCACAGCGAAAGTCTCTGTGTGGAGTGCCTTTGCAAGTTGAGTTCAAATGCCCCTCTGCAATCGGGCCCTACAGTGGCAGATGAGGCTGCCGACTACTTGAAGGCCCCCCTCCTTCCTCGGTCCCAAGACCCTTTGGTGTGGTGAAGGCTCCAAGGAAGCCTTCTCTTCACATCCCTGGTTGAGGCTGCCCGTGGGTATCTTTCGATACTAGCAACGCAGACGAGGAGCAAACGGCTTCTTTCAACTGCCGGTGCTCTGTGAGCCGCAGAAGGGAGCGCCTCCTCACCAAACAGGTTGAGCAGCTTTTCTTCTTGCAAGAAAATCTGTAAAGCCCTGAAGGCTTGTGGAAATAAATGGTTGAGTGAATGCCTTTACTCTTGTCCTTTGTATGTAGATAACAACTACTCTAAGTATTTGCTTCGAAATTATTCGGCATCATTCACTATTCGCTTCAAATTTGCATCGAACTAGAAAAACACTATTCGCACAAGCCTACATATAATGCAAACAAACAGGGGCGTTTAGGTTTAACGCCAGGTGTTGTCTCCAAAATGACGAGACTAAAATTTGTTCTTCTAGCTTCTTTACAAGAGCCACCAGCCGTACGATCCCGAGGGCATACTCGGATGCTTGACGTCCATCTTCCTCGTGTTCTTGGGACTTCAGGTGGGTTAACTTTGTTGCTGCGAGCGACTAAACTCTGTTACACAGTTGTGTAACTCCCCCTCCCCCCAAAAAAAAAAAATTTCTTTTAGGTGTCGGGAAAGACCGTGTATAATTACAAAATGCACTTTCTGCGAAATGAAGAAACCAAATAAATTATTTAGTGCAATATTTACATGGCAAGACATATTTTGGGCTAGGGACTATGTTCTAAAACGCGCTTCCATCTTCAGACGTCGGCCTCAAAATAGAAGCATTTTTCAGAATAGCTCAAACGAGTTCTAAGACCTAAATATTGCACTAAATTGTTTTCCGAGGGGGAAGTCTTGGGAAGTCTTTTTTTAGGACTAGGATTTTGTTTTTTCAGAGTTTACTTTTTGTAAAATTCGAAGGGTGTTTTTCAGAGTTTACTTTTTTGCCGGAAATTTGTGGTTTATCAGGGTTTATTTTTTTTAGATTTCAAATTCTCGAAATTCAAAGTCTATGTTTACCCTGTTCTTATTTTTTTTTTTTTTCAAAATAAAAATAATGTTTGGACAAAAACATACACTAAATTCAGATAAAAAAAAAAATAACCGGCATTGAAAGATCTTTTTCCAGCTGCATTTGGCATTGGCTCCCTTGCAATTGGCAGTACTAAAGGCTCATTCACACTTGCGACTCGTGACAGTGGTGTGAGCGACAAGCGACTAATGACGTTCACACTGTGGGTGATTGGCAAGTCGCTTCTCGAAAGCTCTCAAGAGCCGCCATCGATTTCATCCTTCCTACTAGAACTCCGGAACAACTCGGGTTCACGTTTCCCCACTTTCCCATTTTCGTTGTCATGTGCATCGTTTTCACCACGAAGTTAAGACTCAAGATATTGGCCCGGGACCTTTGGACTCTTACAGCAAAAGCAGTCGCTACACCAGCGTGCGCTCGCTCGAGCTGCTGTGTCACGATACGTGCCTGTTAAACCAAAAATGGCACCGATTCGCCGCCACGCCGAGTTCTTTTTTGGTCGCTCAATCAAATCGGGGTGCTGCTTTTATAAAAAAAATAAATGGGTGTTCTTTAATAGCACCGACCAAACCGCTGCAGAGACCTCCGTGGCTCTGTATCCGTGGCCACTACCGCAAACCGAGGCATTGGACAGACCTGTTGGTTGCTTTTCCCACAGAAGTTTGGTGTGTCTGATGTAAAGAAACGGCGAGGCGCACCTTGCGTCACTTCTGAGGCGTCGCTGATTGGTTCAGCCGCTGATTGGATCAGCCGCTGATTGGATCAGCCGCTGATTGGATCAGCCGCTGATTGGATCAGCCGCTGATTGGATCAGCCCCTGATTGGATCAGCCCCTGATTGGATCAGCCCCTGATTGGATCAGCTCCTGATTGGATCAGCCCCTGATTGGTTCAGCCCCTGATTGGTTCGGCCGCCGGGCGACTCGGTGACTGGTCGCAAGAATCTGTCTGGAGGCGACTGCTCCATACCGGTCGCTTTTGCAGCAAAAGTTGTCACGCGACAGCTGCTACTTCTGCGTAAACCCGCTGCCCATGACAAACCTTGAAAGCAAGTGTTAGTTCTTCAATAAATGTTAGTACTTTGAAACGTCCAAACTCCTGGACGCATCCCCATCCTATGAAATGTACAAGCTCACATCTTCCACCGTTATAAAAACAAAACCCTCCTCCTCCCTCTAAGAAGCACAAATACTATGATCCAGACTAAAACCGAAACAGAGCTACAATGTAGACCGCATATAACGTATGTCGCGGGAGCCGTGAAATTCCGCACTATAAGCGGTACCGTGCTATAACCAAAACATAAATTTTTCAGGCCAAAATACATGCCATGAGACAACTTATTTTTGTAAAACAATTTATTTTATATTAGATTAAAAATAAAGCTTAGTTTGAGGAAAGTCTTTACTTCACCAAACTAGTACACTTCTCTCTCAAGTGTGTCACACATTTTGAAAGAAATGAGTGACTTTTGCCTGGCGCAGCCTTTTAACGGCGTCGCGGGTTGCGGACGGACGTTGCGAGCGTTCAGGATTGCTAACCCTAATCACTTTTCTCCGGTGATGAAAACGCGTGAACATTCGCATCCTTTATACGGTACGCGCCAGTAATACCTTCAACTTGAGCACAGGCATGAAATGCTCCAAATAAGAAATCCGGGCGATGTTCGAAAACACAAATGGTTAGAAAGCACCACTGTAGTCGAAGTAAACAAACACGACGACACGGGTGTTTCTGCTGTCTTGAGAGTGCTGCTGGTGCCGCCACGACATCGCCACACAAGTAGGTGGATCTCTCCTTCTAGTACGTGCTGGGTTATCATAGCGACACACAACGAAAATTCACAGTCAAGGATAGCGCTTTTACGTGGAACGATGAGCTTCCACCACGCCGTCTACGTCGACGATCACCGCCGACGCAATGTTAGCGGATCGAAGAAGCCGGCCCGCGACCAGCATGCAACGCGCGCAAACACTTCTCCTCGACCTGCAATTGGTCTGTCGTTGCGGCTGTTTCCAACCACGACCGGCTTTATAGCCAATCGTGGTTCCAATGCAGCGGGGGAAAGTTGGGCTGGTTGGGCTTAGTTAAGCTCACTCCAACGCCTTGCGCCGTGAACGACACGTGCGTGCATCCCTCAGTCGCTATGGCAACTGAAGCCTCTCTCTTCGCTTCTCCCCGCTTCTTCGAGCAACCTCCTTGCCCCGCGAGTGCCGCTTGCGGCTAGCGCCGTTATCTACAGGGTGATTCAAGGAGATGCCAGGTTCTTTAAATCGACCGCAAAATTCGGTTTCTTAACCTATCGTGCTACGACTTTGTGCAGCATTGCCCACAGATGGTGCATTTTTTTTGTAAAATTTGCAAAGAGTGAACTTACCTGAGGAAAAAGAAAGAAAAAGGCTTAGCTCCTATGGAAACGCAGCGATGCTACCGGTCTTCCAACACGGCACCGTTTCGCACAAGAGACAAGAGATGGCACAACGAACGCCGCAAACGAACGAGCATACGGCGTCGAGAGCCGTTGTCTTTAGCAGACAATCTTTTCAATTCAAAAGTGGCGCGCGTTGCACAGGCGGCGACAGACGCAGAAACAAAAACAGGCGCGGTAACAACAGGGAACTGCAGTTCCTTGTCTGCTAAAAACGCCGGCTCTCGGCGTCGTGTGCTTGTTCGTTGGCGGCAGTTGGCGTCGCAGCCGCTTGCGCCATCTCTTGTCTCCCGTGCGAAATGGTGCCGTGTTGTTTGAAGACCGGTGGCATCGCTGCGTAATTTCCATAGGAGCTAAGCCTTTTTATTCCTTTACTTTTTCCTCAGGTAAGTTCGCTCTTTGCAAATTTCACAAAAAAAAAATGCACCATCTATGGGCAACGCTGCACAAAGTCGTAGCGCGATAGGTTAAGAAACCGAATTTTGCGCTCGATTTAAAGAGCCTGGCGTCTCCTTGAATTACCCGGTAGTGTCGCACAGGGAAGCGTGCTCGCCGCGCCGGTCGGTCGGCGGGCTGTTTCAGAAACTGCACTATAACCGGTATTTCCCTTCGCGCGCCTGCATTTTAAGCGGTATGTAATTACATGGAGTTCTATGGGAAGCGAACCGGTGGTTTAAAAAAGCCGCATTATACCCGGTCCTGCACTATAAGCGGTTACGTTGTAAGTGGTCTATACTGTATTATCATGGTCCAGAAGTACATTCACCCATTGTGCTATAGTAAAAAAGAAAACAACTGAACTTGCTTTCTTTGAGGACCACTAGCTAGCCGTGTGCTCTGACTATCTCTATTCATAAAATATAATCTTTTGGGGCTTTTCATTTTGTCCTCGTTACCTCAAAACTTTCAGATAAATCTAAGTTGTCGAAAATTTTACCGGCAAATTTTTTTCGGGGTTTATCGGATTTATCTGAAATCACAAAATCCTATTCAAAATATATGTCTCATCCCAACACTTAAAGAAAAGAAATTTTAGGTGGAGTTCAGTGTTTTTTTTAGAGCACCCAGATTCATGCGAGAAAGGCAGAAATTGCTGTTTGGTAATTAGATCAGGGTTTTTATTCAGTCAGTTTTGCCACCTTTCGAAAAGATAAGCCCTTGCACATCTTTCCAAACCTTGGTTGGTCTACCTCACATCTAGGTTTTTGATCAACCGTCTTTGTTATGCCAAGCATGTTCTTGAAAGAGCTGCGATTTTTCTTCCGCAATCGCCAAAGTTCTAACAAATCAGCTGAACCATGCAGAAACAAATCAGGCGCATGTTTCACGCGGACGATAGGGACAAAAAGATGAAAGAAAGCCATGCAGTGTCTTGGCAAAAGCTTCATGTGAAATAAATTGTCAAAATATTACAGCTTATTTATATTGGTAAAATAACTGCCATATCCATAGACATAAATTGCAATGAAAAGTAACATAGATAAGTTCTTTTGGAGTTGAAACAGGAAACTTGGTTTGAATGTATCAACCAGGAATACCATAAAACCCCCGAAAAAAAAGCCCACCTCTGCTTTTGGCTTGATTTGCTATATTGTTTTTTAACACCGAAAGATAGCCCACTTGTAGCAGTGGTAGTGTTAGGATCAATGATTGCCCCGACGTAAATGTGGCTAGTTTGCTATGGCCGGATATAAGCGAACGTTGCTGACACGGAAGTACAGTCACCTTTGCTTTGTTGCCCCTCGCCACGATAACAAGCTTGGAAGAGACACCAGACCTGAAAATAACATTTTCTTTTACCTTTGTTGATTGTGACCGAAAGTTAGCCTACTCCATATTTTCACGCGATTTGTTCTGGATTTTAGGTGGGCTATCTCTTGGGATTTTACGGTATATCAATGGGGCTCTACTGTCGACTTGAAACTGAGAGTCCCTTATTGAGTCATGCTCATTTGGCATAATTTGCTTCTACGGTAGGCTGGCAAAGTCCTCGTGACATTCAAGGAGTGGAGGCCCAGGCTTTCCAGGTGGTGTGTTTGGGGAGTTGTCTGTGTGAGTATGCCCTCGTTACTGTTCAGGCCAAAGGTTACGTTGACAGCAGTCTTTGTTTAAGCGACTGATTTATTAACAATGTACACTGTGCAACGAATAATCAGCACAAACATGATATTAGTGCTTTCTCATTTTTTTTTTTTTCATAGACAAGGTATGAGTGAGCACTAAATTTTACTGTTTAACTTGGTGTTCCAAATAACAAGTTTTAACCATTAGTACAGTTACCGATCGATTTTTCGGACTTCGCGGGGATCGTAAAAATGTGTTTTTGTGTGTCTCTTGTCTTCTTCTTTTGCGTTCGCATACCAAAATGTTTAACCAACGCACTCTCCTAATTCTATCCAAATAATAGAGCAGTCTGAAAAACTTGCCTTTCTTACAACTAAGCAGGCTTGAAAAAAGGCATTAATAGTGTTTTGCTTCAGGTTACGCCTCCGCTTGCATTTGGCCACTTTCTATTAGCTTGAGAATCTCTGCCTTCTTTTGTAGCATTATGGTCAAGCACTTTCCGCACTTCTTAGCGACCTTCGTGCTGGTGGAAGAACAGATAGGGCCGTGATGTCCAAGCCAGCATAATCCGAAAACATGATTCACTGAGACGAGATGAGAGTCGCAAGTCCATGACTGCAGAATGGTGAATGAACAAACCGAAATGGTAACAATAATGGTAACAATGTGCAGCTAGAGAAAAAAAAAAAAGCCACAGCATAGCGTTACCTAGCGGTAGGACTTGGCAGTTCTCAAGTAGGGCTGCCAAACCAAGCCAATCCATGTGCAGCCGTTTCTCGGTGGTGTTTCCTGCTGAACTGGGTACGATTTTGTCCGAAAAATGTAACTTTCGGACATCCGAAAGTTTAATCGGAGCTGTCGGAAACATTGGTCGTGAAGATGCACTATTTCTTTCGCGTATTCATGGTTCCCCTTCCAAGTTCGAAGTATCGCAAAAGTTTGAATTATTGGCGTTCAAAAAATTGGTCGGCGACTGTAGTTTCAATGACAAGACAGCCTAGCTATCAGAATAACAGTAAAAACCTTTGATTACTTGTTCATGCTAACTGTTTATTGTTGTGTGCTCGTAGTATATGGAGCATAAAAACTGTCAGATTTCAAGTATGAATGACTAGCTTTTTACATGGAGTATCTGTTCATTGCCTCTGTCCATGAACTCTGTAGCTTTGGTTAGCTTTGTTAATGGCATCTAGCTAAAACTTGGTTGATGGGCAGAGCTGGTGTAAGAGAATGCTGAGCCCTGAGTAAAAAGAAAAAGTAGAGACTGAAAAGATATTTCACAAAAAATATAAAAGCTGCTTTAACTGTACAATGGCTAGAATTTTCAAACTTTCTACCAATTTCTTTTAAGACTTTTAAGAAAATAGAAAGGACATGATGGAGTATTGTATTTCTTGCACCAGTCATATTGACGAGTACTCGGAAATTTGTCCCATCAAGGAAGTCACTTGGTAGCTTTGTGGGATAAGAACACTTTCCGATTGGTAAAGGTAGAACATTGTAAAATAGCTTATCAACATTCTAATATTAATAGCTGGCACATGCACTGAACTTTTGTGGTTCTCTTTATGTCTTCAGGGAATTATTGGTGGTGTGCTGTGCAAGTTCTCTAAGGAGGATGGCTGGATCCCACTCAACAAGAACCTCTGGTATGTCTGATATGATTCCCTGTTTTGACAGTAACTCTGAGCTTTTATTGTTATTTTTGAGTTGTAGTGTGCTTTCCGAAATTAACTTCTTTCAAACGTCACCTGGTCGAGGACTCGGGCCGGTACCGACACCCTAACTGAAAATAGTTTTAGAGCAAAATGTTTTGAGGAAACTGCAGCTGGAATGAAACCAAGATTTATATTCAATGCTGAACCGGAACCGGAAAAATTAACAGGTGTCTGGTATATTGTGGTGGCCCATAGTCTGCGACTCTACAAGATACTCTTGGCAGTTAATTAATTAAAATTATTAATTGTGTTGCGTATATGTTGTCTGATGTCTCAGCTGTAGATGAGAAATTTAGCCAGTGCGGGTACCGCTGCTATCCTGGAGTCTTTAACGTGCACCACGCAGTAGTGATACACGACTGCACACCGGTACGATGCTTATCCAGATCAAAATGAGCAAGGGTGGGGTTGAACCCAGGGAACCACTGCAGTGCGAGGTATGGCGCGTTAGCACACTCGACCACTGATCCCCCTGGCAGTTGAAGACGACGCCTCGAGGTTTCTCTTTTATATTACTTGTCAATATGATAGTGCCTCACAATGTGTCGACCAGTAATATAAAAAAGGAACTGTGAGGCATCATCTTCCTCTGCCAAGTGTGTCTTGTAGAGTTAGTCTGTGAGCAAGTGAGGGGAGAAGCCTACTAAAAGCCTACTAAAAATTCATTAAAAAAAGTGTGAGGGCATGGTTAGTTTTTTCAATCGGCCTTGGCATAATCTCGAGTTTGCTTTATGTGCGCTAGGTGGTTTAGTTTTACATACAGTGCAAAAATGTATGAGTCTCTAGAAATTGAATGTTATAAATGATATGCCATTTTATGTGGTATCATTTTACATTGATCATACTGTACTACCTGCTTTCTCTTCTTTTTTATTTGCATCACTTTCTTGTTTTTTTTTTTAAATTGACTTTGGGTATTGCCAGAACCAGTTTCAATCTAATATAATCCTTGCCTTCAGGTCTGTATCCTACATTTTGGCAATGGCTTCCACGGCATTCCTGCTTCTAGCACTCTTCTACTACATCATTGATGTGCAAGGCTTCTGGTCAGGCGCGCCCTTTACCTATGCAGGTAAGCCAAGCCTCTTCTCGAAGGGAAGGAAATTATGTCAACAAAGCTTACTTGTACGGTCGAGCATATATTGTAACATCCAAATGAAATCCCCACTCCTCGTGCAACAGCTTATTCTTGAATATAACAGGCATGCACACTTCAACATTTAAGTATGTAAAGTTCAGAAAAGCTAAAATGAAGAACGGCAAAAAGTGAAACTCTTGTCTCTTCTCTTTTTATTGATGTCCATCAGTGCTGCTTCTAATCTTGTCAGAGCACTGACCCTGTCTTGAGAAGGGAGGGTAACCTAAAAATAAATTCTCAAGCTTGAAGAGAATGCAGCAAGCAAAATTAAAAAGAACGTATTATGCAATCACTGACAAGCTGTTTGCTTTCTTGGGCTGTGACTGGAGGCTGAATGCATCAGGTGCAGGCCTCAGATATGTCTTTCCTCGCTCAGATAGGAGGGGTGCTGCAAACCTCCATGGCCACCCTGCAGTTCTCTTTTTTTCATTTTTTTTTCTTTTTTTGTCTATTAGGGAGATGCTTGCAAATTGTTTCACAAGCAGTAAGGGAAAAACAAAGAGTTGGCTTGTGAAGGCTGGGGAAGAAAGCAAGCATTTCTTTTATTATTTCCTAGACTTCTTTTAGCTCGCTTGTTTCCTTCCACCCAGTTACTTTTCATTAGAGTTTTGTGGGACTCGGCAACGACTTTTGGGAATGGTAATGTTTCTTTGTGTTTTTGAGAAATCAAAAATTTTCATTCAAAACTGGGTGGAATTGAGTTAAGACAGTACAATAATTTCTTCTCTACATCGCTGGAAGAAAAATGACCTCTTGGCATTGTCATTATTCCACTTGCTGGCATCAGCTTGTCGCTTAATCTTTGTGTTTTGCGAGGCCAGAACAAATCGGTTTTTAGCATTCTGGTTTGAGGCGTACCTCTGGCATGTGCCCCAAGACTTTGGTCTCACTTGTGTAGATTTTGGCTGGGGAAGTCACTGCAATGATCTTTCCTTGCGGGCAGCATGTCAAGTTCGGCCACAATTTCCCTACAGGTAACTCTAAATAATTCGAAGCTCACAGGGATTGTCAAAAACTTTCAATTAAAACACTTCACATTAAAATAGGCCTGCTCAAACAATGAATTTGTTTTATTTAGTAGTACTCGCTCAGGAGAAATTGTGAATTTGTGCTGGCCTTTGCTGGAGGGAGAGGTGCTGCTGTAACTATGCTTTGCCAGTTGCAAACCCTTCTTGGGGTGTCTCCAGCATTGTTGAAATGTAGTTTTTGCATCAGCCACACTCCACAGGGAAAGCAGTTCCTAGGACTAACCGCTTGCACATGGTTTACAGTCCAAAAGCGGACCACAGACCACGGCTTGTTTGTTGACGTCAATATATTCGACGGTTGAAACATCTACAAGAGCTTGCTAATTCCTTGAGCCCAGCTTCGTTGTTTTGTGCGTGCCGCGTGGCCATGCTGTTGATTGCTTCCGTAACCACTGTAGGGCCGTGTGCTATGATGCGCTTGTCCGCTGCCACACTTAGCTTGACATGGTCGCTTGGCGTTCTGGCTTAACTGCTCGCAGCAGTTGTTCATCTTGTTTTCTCCTTTCCCAACTGTGCAAATCATGTGTAAATGGTAAGTAAAAGTGATAAAGTGTGCGTGGTTGCAATTTATCCAGCAGTCTGATACTATGGTCTCATGTTCCAGGGAAAATAAACAGCCATCAGATGGCCTAAACAACATGCTTTTCGTGTAAGGCTCGTCAAAATATTACGTGCTGGTGAAAATCAATGATCTGTGTTATGTCCTTATTTTAAACTCTTTGTTCGCAATCCGCCTATTGAGAGCATGACGAAAGAGCCTGGTACGCACATGATCTCCCTACACCACCGTCTCCTTCTGCGCTATAAAATCCATCTGCTATGGTCACCGAATGTCAATAGACTCAAATTCGAACGCAGCGCACAGAAACACAGCCATATTTCGAATGCCGTCTGCTACCAATCTGGCACCGCTAACTTGGGCTTAACGTTAGGTTAGGTTAGGTAACCTTGGTAATATAACCTTGGGCCCAAGCGTGCACCAAGCTTCGTCAGAATGGCCAAGGGTTCACCAGGTGACTGCTTTCCGCTCTCAACGTCGACCTCCATAATGGCGCATTCAGCTGGCGTTGCCATGTTCATGTTAGCAGATGACATTCGGAAGACTGCCTCTGACGCTTCATTGCCATGGTGACGCTGACCATAGCAGACGGACTTTAATATGCAGAAGGAGGCGGCGGGGTGGTGGGATTAGGTGCGTAGTTGGACTCTTTCGCCGTGCTTTTTGATGGGCAGAGTGTGAACAGAAAAAGTTTCAAATAGGGACTTAACGCAGATGGCCGATTTTCTCCAGGATCTAATATTTTGACGAGCCTTACGCGAAACGTATGTTTTTAGTTCGCAATTTAGACAAACTTTGTTGTTCTGGAACAGGGGTCTTAACTATTGATTTGTCATTTACCCTTGGTCACTATGATCACGAGACTTCCTCAATCTCCCAGAGTTACCGGACATCTACTGAAAATATCAAAAGTTAATTGTATCGCACAATTTTTTTTAAATTTAGGCTCCTGCACATTGAGCATTGATCGCAAAGTTGCCGACGGCACACCCTGTCTCTCATGTGGCATATTTGACCCGTCGTATTTCGGCACACAGCATAGAAGCTGTTGCTGTCACGTTTTCGCCACCAGTGTCTGGCATTGTGCACCGTTGTACATACTAATAAATATGAGTTTACTCCGGTGTATGATGGACTCCGCTGTACCATTAAAACACTATTACAGGGACTGCCGGTGGGCTCATGAACCACGATTTACCTCCAACGATAAGTCGTAGGTCGATAAATACTCGTGGCGCCTAATTTGCTTTTGCTTTTTCTCGTTGCTGAGTGCAGGAATGAACTCGATAGCTGTCTATGTGGGACACGACATGGTGAATGGCATGTTTCCTTGGGCCTGGAAGTGCTACGAAACTCACTGGTGCTACCTCTTCATGAACCTGTGGGGTACTTCTCTTTGGGTGCTGGCCGCGTTCATCATGTACCGCAAGGGCGTCTTCATTGCCATCTGAGACGCAAGAATCACCTGTGCAAGAAACATACGATGCGTTGGGTGGAGGCTATGGGATTGCAAGGCACTGATTTCGTGTGCCAGCTTGACGGTGGCAGCTGTTAACGGTACCGGGTGCTAAGCGCAGTTGACATGTTGATTTCAACTTAATATTAATCTGGGTGTTCAATTAGCATGAAGATTTCAATGAGAGACCAGGGCTGTTTTTAATGGCGATGAAATGACAAAAGAAGTTAGGGAAGTTCTGGGGACCCTTAGCAGATGGCAGTTTTTGAAAACTGCTCCATTGAAAATGCATGACTGGTTTTGAAAAAGTTCATTCTTATATTGTGTAGCACCCATTTGATTAAGAAGTCAATACTGCAAACTGCCGTGAAAAGACAATATGTGTTACTTTAATGCTTTCCACCCATCGGGCATCAGTACAAGACCAAAACAATCTCCAAAAGGAATATCTAAATTTTTTTTTTTTCCTTCTGGTTATTGTTATGCCTGGAAAAGACATTTTTCAATTTCGTAATGACGAAAGGCTTTTTAATATTGGTGCTTGTTGTCATTATCAGTGTTAAAGTTATATACTCTGTTTATAGTAGCAAAATATCTGCAAAGCAAGTGACTTCATCTATGTCATGGCTTGTCAAGATTACTATATATAAGTTTTGTTTTTGCGTGCTTTCTGCTGGGATGAGTCAAAGGGATCGATGGCTGTTTGGAGGGACCGCATAAATCGGTTTCTGAACGTATCTAGCTAATATTTTACACAGACGTCGCCGAAGGACGTGCATCAAGGGTATAGAAATTGAACCGAACAAAGTTACCCGAGTAAAAACTTAGAAATTAAAAACTTAAAATCCCTACCTATGGCAGCCATGTGCAAGGGCATCTGATTGACGCAACAGCCGACGATGTCGGCAGTGGTCTCTGCATTGACAAGGGGGGTCAGCAGTGGAGGCATTGGGAGTGCCTCAGGTTTTAGCATCAGCTTCGGAGATGACACTGCGGTTGTTGGTGGCTTGTTCTGGAGGTTTCCCTCACTAAGGCGTGCCTCACCCAGCATAAAATTGGAGGGAAACCCGGAGGCCGCCACCCAAACTTTGCCGGAAAATGTCGGTGGACCTTTACTTGCTGGTTGGGAGCTAAGCGCACCGTGAAGATGGCTTACACCCGAAAACAGAACGGATGAAAGTTGCAGATAAAAAAGGAGATGTGTTAATAACCAGAAAGTGCGAAGCAGATTAGAATGTTTCCGAAAATAATCAATAAAAAAATTGGGGGACGATCATAAGGTTTGACGCGTTCAGACAGCAGCAGCTTTTTTTGTTTATTTTCGTTTACGCTCACACCGTCGCAAAAGCAGGCGGCGCGCCACTAACAGCTCCCGCTGTAATTATTTTCGTTTGCGCTCGCCATCAATAAATTTTTCCACTAAATTTAGGAGGAAAACTGAATTGGCGCATAGGTCATGCGACTTCAGTTTTTCCACTAAATTTAGCGGGGAAATTGATTTGGTGCATAGGTCATGCGACGTCAGTTTTTCTGCTAAATATAACGGGGAAATTTATTTGGTGCATAGGTCATGTGACAACAGTTTTTCCGCTAAATTTAGCGGAAAAACTGAGTTGGTGCGTAGGTCTCGTGACGTCAATTTTTCTGCTAAATTTAGCGGGGAAACTGAATTGGTGCATAGGTCATGTGAGGTAAATTTTTCTGCTAAATTCAGCGGGGAAACTGAATTGGTATATAGGTCATGTGAGGTAAATTTTTCTGCTAAATTCAGCGGGGAACTTGTATAAGTCTGTAGGGCCCATGGCTCACCTCACGTGACATCAATTTTCCCACCAAATTCAGTGAGGAAACTGAGTGGCTGCATAGGTCATTTGACATCCAAATTTATCCGTTACATTTAGCGGAAAAACTGATTTCGTTTACCCTAACGCCTTCGTGAAACTGTGGGGGGGACGAGCCCATAACAGCTGCCATTGTAAAAGGAGACAACACATATCTGTTTTGTTTTTCTCGTTTTATCTTCATTTTTTATGTTGTTTTTTTTGGTGGAAGAAAATGATCATTTGTTGACAATTTGCACAAAAAAAAGAGTGCATCGCTTCTGGCGCGAAACGTCGTCTGCTATTGCCAAAGTCGAGTGAAGCACCCCTCGAGGCCGCAAGAGATCTTAGGTGCCGCCATCTGTCGGCTGTTACACCAGTCATACGCCTTTTTTTAGCAGACGGCCGCGGTAGGTAGAGATTTAAAGTTTTTCATTCCTATTTTTTTGCTCGGGTAAGTTTGTCCGGTGAAATTTTTATACACTTGATGCACGTTTTTCGGTCGCCTCTTATGGGGACCAACTTATGTGGTCCCTAGAAACATCCATCAATCCCTTCAACTCTTCCTATAGTTACAATCAATGTATATGTCACAGATCTGACATTTCCTATTTTGGTGTGTTTACCCTTACACATATTTTTTTTTTTTTTTGTTATGTTAGGTGGTGATTCTGTAGGCTTTCATGTAAATCCCTGTTTGCATCTGTCATTTCAGGACATAAAATGTGTGCCTTGTGTATTTCTCAAGTCATAAAGCACCTATACTAATTCAGTTACTTAAAGGGCAACTCCACTTTGTTTTTGACAAACAATGCAGTCCTCTTCAGTATCACCCAGGAAGACAACACGTCAAATATTACGACCTAGTTCTGTCGGAATGTTTCTTAAATGGTCCAGTAAACTTTACAACTTGCCAAGTTGCCGAAATCGATTGACTCTAGCGGGCAAATTGAGGCACAACCAACAGCACAGTCAAGGCTACGACATTGGCGTAGCCAACATTGAGCTAAACATCATCACCACTGCCTCATTTTGCTGGTTTTTGCTTCTCCGAGCAAGCGTAATGGGTGATGTCAGCAACATTTCCTCTCGCCACTCAGGGGTGTCCACGTGATTGGCGTAATACGCCTGCGCAGCATGCATCTTGGGAGCCGTCCGGCCGTCCCGTCATTACTGCCGTCTCCCGCATCACAACCGCCATCGTTGTGGTGTTATCGTTTGTGATTGTTGTCTCTCGGACTCCCATTCACACTATGTGCGCAGACTCGTGCTGCAATTGTGTAGACGTCGTTGAATGCCGTAGACTCCAAAACGTGGCGATGAGTGCGGTGCAGACGACACTTGCGCCTGGCACATGCCTGCCTCAATGATGGCTTGCTGGCCTGCCCCAATACTGCCCGTCGTTGCATAGGATCACATGACATCTTGTACCATTTGATGGTCGGGCCTTTTACAGCCTGAGGAGAATGTTGCCAGACGGAGCCGAAGTTTCGGTTTTGATTTCTGCTTGTGCTTAAAGTAAGATTTAACAGTACATATTCCATTTTTTATGAAGCAAATGATGTAGCCCCTTTTATTTATGCTTTTTATTGTGAAATCACTCCCAGACTTTTTTTAATTTGAGCAGAGTTGCCCTCTAAACCCGCTTAAATCGCCCCCCAAAACATTTTTCTTTATTTTTTCCACGCGATTTAATATGGTGTCATGAGAGACAGTCCAATAAATATTTTGCTGCAGAGTCGCATATATACATTTAATAAAGTCAACAAACTCAAGTGCTCGGAACCGAAACACTAGCACGAAAGCTCATTGTTGTTAGTCACATCGCCATGTCGCCTTTCCAGCCGACCAAAAAGGCCACCTGGACAGCGTCATTTTCGACCCTGACTGTGGGTTTACTGCAATTTGTGTTCCTGACCATATGTTTTTCCTCCAAAGAAAAGGGGATGCACCAGATCGGTCTTTGTTTGTAAGCAACCCTGAGTGCCGCGCCCCATAGCGCACGCGTGCCTCCAATAAGCAGCCTCTTTGTTTGTTGGTTTGGACATCAAGCTGTGTGGTCACTTCTTAAGCACGATACAAGGAGTGCAACTATGATAAAGGCTTGTCACAGAAATGCAAAATCTTCGAGTGATTTTTTTGGTAGGAAAAGCAGAAGGAATTGACATTTTTGGACCCAATGGAAAATGTAAAGAGTGCATTGATGTTTTTATTTCATCCTGATATCTAGACCTTTGTTTTGTGGATTGGATGTTATATCTTTTTCAGTGCACCACTGAAAAGGCCTATGGCTGTTCGTGCAGAACTCAAAATAAATCAAATCGAAATAATGACTACCTAAGAGCGCATTCTTAATTGTGTCATTCTATGTGACATCCGTGGCATTTTGGCATGAGCCAGGAAAATGTGATAGGTGTTAGTAATTACATTTTCCCGAGGTGTAACTTATAGTTTCTCAAAGTGTAGTGTGTACCTGGTTTTTTGTATGTTATACTAGTTTACTGTATCACAACTTCCAGCCTGATAGCTCCTATTGTGACATAGTTTTATTTTTCTGACTAGTTTCTCTTTAATATTGTCCTGTGAAAATTGTGCATTGCATAAAGTGTGTTTTTAGTGTGGCTCATTGCTGTTTCTTAAATGTGATCTGTTTCTTTTATAAGGCAAAACTTTGTCCCTTCTGTTGCAGTTTCTCTCTAGCGACTCGGGCAGAGATTGTTGAAATAAAACTGTTTTGTTTGGACATTGGATGTGTGTTAATTGGCTGTTCACATAGATCTGCTTGGACAAGCAGTTCACATAGATCTGCTTGGACAAGCAGTTGTGCCAAATGGTGCTCACCTCTGTAATAGTATGTAGCTGCTAAGATGTGCGGTTTCAGAGAAGATAAGTGTGTACGAAGGGTAGTCATGAAGTTTGTATTTATATTACTATGAGGAAACATAGTTGCAATAACGAGTGTCAGGGTTAGGGTTACTCCATTCCCACTATGCTCCACATAAGGGGACACTTCTCCCAATGAATGAGCTGAGCTAAGGGATACCCTGGAAGTAGGAGTCTTCATTTTGGCTCTTGAGGATGCATCGTCCTAGGAATGCTGGCCACGAAATGGGCGTTTCGTGCGAGGAAGAAAGATGAGGTCACCGGGTGCCAGGTTGGGTGATGGGGGGGAGAGACTGGACAAAAGCTCACCCATTTTTCGATTGACCTGGACAGAAGCTGACCTCTTTACGGGCTGGGCTAAACTGTAGACTGGACAAGGACATGTCAACAGTGGTTTAAGTATTCCCTACTGGAAATGAACCAATTGTAATACATCCCAAAATCACACTGAATCCATGAGCAATTTGAGGCTCGAACACATTAAGTTGTATGCATTTATAGAACAAAAACCTATGTACAGTTACTGGTAATACCGGTACTCTGATGCACATAGCTCTGTATGCATGTATGGCACAAAAACCTTTGTGCACTTATTGGTAATAGGTACTCTGATGCACATGTGTGCATTTATGGCACAAAAGCCTATGTGCAGCTATAGCTAATAGCTAGGTACTCTGATGCACATACGTCTGTAATCATTTATGGCCCAAAAACCCATGTGAGGCTATTAATAATAGGTATTTTGATGCTGCTATATGCACATACGTCTGTATGCATTTCAGCACAAAAACATATATGTGCAGCTATTAGTAATAGGTATGACGATAATCCCTGGAGAAGGGTAACAAGGGGGACAAAGGACAAACACAAATCTCCAAATACAACTAGGTGACTGTTGCGCGACCGAGAAAATCTGCCTGGTCCTGGTATCAAACCATGGACCTTTCCATTTCCAGTGGAGCGCACTACCAACTGAGCTAACGAAAAAGCTGCGCTCTAAAATGCGAGCCGTTCACCCTTGTTGGTGTTAGACTGGTGGCAGCTCATAAAACCAGTTTGCTCTACTGATAGCCCGTTTCTGGCATGAGCGTCACCGCCGTCGTCGTCGGCGTAACCTCGCGTTGCGTTATGGGACGTTTCCCATAATGACGTCACGAAGGTCCCGCGCATTGCATTATGGGACGTTCCCATAATGACGTCACGAGTGACGTTACTAGGGTCCCGCGCGGTGCATTGCATTGTGGAAAACGTCCCATGATGCAACGCGCGGATCACGAGTAACCCGTTCGTTGCATCGTAGGATGTTTCCCATAGTTCCTCCTCCTCCTCCTAGACTTTAGCGATGGAAGAGGAGGGAGGAGGAGATGAGGAGGGTAGATGCCAGCTACACGCGTTGTGCAGGAAAGTGATATCACTATAGGCCCCTTTCAAAAAATCTGGCAACAGCGAAAATCCGCTGAACGAGTCCAACAACATTGGGCGGCCGGCGCCATTGGGAAGGACTCCGTTGCGGCCGGCATAGTTGTTTTGACTGTAGCGTTCTTGTTTCGTCGATCCCTTCGCTTCTGTATGGCTGCAGGTAGCGTTTTCCCGATCACGGGTTGGGTGAACGACCTTTCCCAGCTCCCAGCCGTTAAAGATGATGAGGTATATCGCTTCTTCAAGAGCCGATCGGACTCGGAACGACAATTCGACAGAAGTTACAACTTCCTCGTTGAGGGGTTTGTGGTCGCCGTATCTATAAAGGCCAACTACTCAAGAAAAATGTAATTACTAAGATCTTTGTAGTTACGACATCAAACATGTGTTAGTTAATAGTATTGTGAGCATATGTTAACTGTAGCCATCTGTTATTCTTCCATCCCCTCTGCCGCCCCCGCTCCGTTCTTTCCTTCCAAATTGCTCCCCGCAACCCGAGTTCTCTAGAGCCAACGAGCCCTCGCCGTTCAAACCACCGTCCATTCTTCTCGCCCTCAGTTCTACCCATCGCCCAAATGTAAACACCAGCCAAGTCGACTCTGCTCGCAAGCCCCGGCAGCCGACTTCTTCGCCGCAGCTGTAACCTTACCCCTCACCTCATAAACTAGCCTCGCCCTCGCCCCTGCCCCGAAGCCATCGCCTCTTCGCCTCAAGATTCTCCAAGCCTGCGTTCTTCTCTTCCAGTTGCTTCCGCCCGTCCCACTGACTCAGACATACCTTCCTTCTCCGTAATAAACAGTTATCTTAATCTTTAAACTTGTTCTTTCTTCCTGGGGCCTACCACCGGCCCTCACATCATGCATCAGAAAACGATAGGAGCCGATTATAATTTACGGGCTGTAGTTAGAAGTCGCCAGTACTCTCCGGATGTGCGACGAAACAGGCGCAGGGGTACCGCTTCGCTGTCGCTCGGACAGTCGCGCGATGAAGTACACCGCATAAAAGCGACGAGCGAGCGACCAAGGCGATGAGCGTCGTTTTCTAGAAATCCCAAACCAAGCGACGTGACAAGCGACAGTGAAACATTTTCGTCGCTTGTAGCTGGGGAGGCACTCACTTGATCGAATGACGTTTTAGCGAACGCCCACGTTTGATCGAACGACACTTTAGCGAATAGTCGGACGCCGCGAAGCGGCGTTTTCGGGTGGGCCAAGTGAGTTCATAGTTCCTTTTTCTTGAGGGGGATTTTAGAGTTGAAATGTAGAGCAGCAAATTTTACAGTGAAGCAGAAGTTGCAAGCGCGCGCATGTTGCTTTGCATAAAGCGCGCGCTGCACAGATGTCTGCGCTACAGGCAGGTTAAAGCGTCAGGTCGTATGGCTTCATGCGTACCAAACATATAATTTACACGCGCAAGTTTGAAGCACCGCGAGCTCGTGTGCATACCTGAAGCTAGGTGCTCGCGAAGCTGTCACGTCCACAAGCGATACCACGCGCAACATTATATTTGTATTTGACGCTTTAATTTCTTCAAACTAGCTGAAACTTGAAAACTCTACCTCCAAACGCAACAAAGTGAGATTAAAAACACTTGACTCAAACACCCAAGGAGCGTAGCGTGGGAACGGTTCGTGTTCCGTTTTTGCACTTCAGCAGAGAAACGTTTGCGCGGCTACGCCGCCGTCAACCGATAACGAGTACATTTACGAATACGCAACTTAATGCCAGACTTCTCCAGATACCCACTCTGCTTACAGAGGGGTGCGCAGCAGTACGTTGGCATCGTGGGCAGGAATTGACTAGCGTCTACGGCCAACGCAGCGTATGGAGAGGCGTGCACTATCCTGCAGCATGGCGGCTGCCACTAGTTGCTGTTGGGTACGACAGGTGGCGCGTTTTTCTCTGATGGGTCTATTCATAAATCAGAGAGGCACGGATCAAAACGTGGTGTATATCCAAGTGGCCATGGGTCTGTGCTGTCCCCGATCTCTGTGGCACGACAGACGAAGTTGGTAAATTATGTGCGGCCAAGGCCGACAACGGCTTGCTCGTGGTAGCTCTGTATCTCTCGCCTACGGCATTCACCAAATATTTCGGGCAAGACAAAGAAGAATTTCATACCAGTCATGCAGGAAAACATCCCATTGGCCCCAAGGAACCTGCACTCGCTGTTTTGCAGTGCCATCTCGGGCGAGCACGCTCAAGACTAGTGCTGATCGAGGAAATCAAAAACGCCGAGCAGTTTTCGACAGAGCCGACAGTGAGTAGGATGACATCGAGGGTATCACGTCGCTGACTCGTTCTCCCACCTTGATTCTGCTGTCATGTTTCCTGGCACCGACAGAACTTAGAGTGGAGCTTCCAGATGTGAGAACTACATTTCCTTTCTCCGGACAAGCGGTGAGCGAGAATACCAGAATATATATATATATATATATATATATATATATATAGGTGATTTCATCTCAACTCAAGCACGGATTTAAGGTCGAATTTTTAATTTTAACAAAAAAAAATATATGTTTTGGGGCAATTCCTATAACAAAACAAGACGAAAACGGCAATTTCGTCGGATTTTTTCTTCTCAAGTTATGGACCGTTGAAGCGGCCAAGGTAGAAACACGTTTTTCCAGCTTATCGGAGGTGCCATATTTCACTCCATCCCCTTTCCCTGGTTTTTACGCTACATCAATATAACTTTTTGGGAACACTCTAGACATAGGCTTTTTCATGCTAATTAAGCGTCTAAGTCATAACATTCTTAATGATTTTTTTTATTTGTCAAACCGCCTCTCTGCGACGATATTTGACGAATTTCAGCAAGATGTGCTGTGTGACCTAATCAATATGTTTTTATGATCTTTATATTACCGTAAAGCTCCAATTAAGCCCTTTCTTTTCAGCATAAATTGAATATTTTGCGATAAGTATATAATGCGCTACATGTGCCTGAAAAAACGAAAATTTCGAAAAACTGGCAAGTTTGAAGTCGATTTTCTGAAAAATCACATTTTTTATTTCTTTTATATTTTATTCACAGTTAGTTAATATAGTAGTCTATCAGAAACTACCAACATAAATTGTAATATACTGTTTGTATGGTCGCTATTAAGACTCGAATCTCGTGCTATGAGCGTTTTGAACGGGACTTCGCACAGGCGCTCTGCTGAGCATAATTTTGACCTATGTAAGGTTTTCTATTTATCGTTATCAGTTACCTCAATATCCAACCATAAACATTTATAACATTTGAAGTAGTGTACTTAAAAAAATTTACTTCGAAGTATGTATCCCCAAGTGCGGGCATAGCGCTTACTTCCTCCCAATACTGGGGAATGCAGATCGCCAGGGAATTCCTCTGGGGCCTTTTGCTTTCGGGTTTGAGTTTGAAATACCGAACTTGACATGTAATTGTCATATTTTCTTATGTCAAACAGATATGCA